TGGGAACCAGGCCCCGGGGGCGAAGCAGCGCCATCACGGTATCGAGCCCCGCTCGGACTCTAGTGACACCGATGGGTGTAAACTAATACCGGGCGGTGACGCCGGTGCACGGCTCTCCGTGCACGGCATTGTCCGCTGGTCTGTAGTCACCCCACCACGGCCGGCCGTGATGACTGGCGGGTGGGGGCTGTAATTCTGGAGGGGACTCTGGCGCACGGCTAACCGTGTGCGGTATGTCCCTTTGGCCCGGAGTCATCCAGCTGTGAACGTAGTCTCCCTGTCGGCCCGACAATGAGGCCGCGAGGGAGTGAAAAGCCTCAAAAAAATCATCGCGTGAAATCGGGTCGCCACCCTTGTGGCGTTTCCCACGGTGTGATTGATCGGATGACTCACTAGAACTCGTCGAAGAACGGCGAGAACGGCGGTTCTTTTTCGATTTTTTTCTTTTTTGAAGAACGACTCCGAGTAGTTGCCGAGGATTGCGGGGACACGGGGATGCCCGAACAACGAATAAAATCCGATGTAGAGGCATGGCCCTCCGAGCGTAGCGTTAACGCTCTGGGGGAATCCCAGGGATTCGGCTCTACGCTATCAATAGCCCAGGCGGCCGACAGCGCCCCCACGCCGGTAACATAGGCGGGTGCTGTACGGTCGATTAACCGGCCATATAACAGCCCATCCCCAGGCATCGTGGTAATCACGGGGCTGGGTGGGCCTGGGTGCACTGAGCCATGGAGGAGTACTTCCTCCGGCTGCGTGTGCCCCGTAGACGGGCCAGGGACAGGCACGGTGCGCCCCGTAGCGGGGCCACCTTTTGCCGTACGTCCCTTTTTGGGTACTGCCCCGGCGTCAGACAATTTCCTTGTCTTGCCGGTGCGTTTCCCCTTCAGTTGGGCGGACCTGTGAATATTGACCGAAGACGGTGGGGTTGTACGGCCCCCCGCTTGGTCAACGGGTCCGTCAGCTCCGACAGCCGGCAGTGGCTGAAAGGGCCGACTAGGGGACTGCTGCCGCAGTGACGTACCATCACCGGTGCAGTCCCCCGAGAACTCGGGCTTGTCTGGTGGGATGTACGTCCCTCCATTATCGACACACCCAGTCCTCCCCAACTTCCTAGATTTACTCATTTCTTACTTCACTTTCACTCAAATACTTCACTAGAACAACTCTACAATAAACACTTTCTCTTTATTTCTTCGAAATAGCTTTCTCCAAGCAAAAGAGGTACCAATAAAATAGTGAAATTCAGGTCGATTGAAATTCCACATTATACCTCGCCTGCGGCTAAGAGAAAAAGAGGACGCTAACGTAGTGCGCATGTCACAGGGCGTCGTGGGTAGGACACGTGAGGGCGCTATTGTATGTAAAACTCTTAGCGAATTGCCTGCCGGCATAGGGAACAATGCATATGTAGTATTCGCTCTACAGGTAAGTAGAGTGATGTAGACTCCTTGATTTAAACCATAAACAAATGTTTTCCATATGTTCATGTTCTACATTACCCCCAAGGACCAACTCACAAGGGGAGAACAACAGATCCTTTCAGTCATCCGGAAATGTGTCTTTTGTTGGAACCGGTCCTCTGTAGTAATTTTGTGCACTTAGGCTATGGGAGAGTGTTAGGCCTATATTACATGGACAAAGGGAAACACAAAGCATTGTCCTCAAGAGTATAGTAAAATACGACCATGTGTGCATTCACGAGTTGCTCGACCACTAAGCGGGCACTCTACTATAAAGTGGGCGCTCAGGCAGCAAAGCCGCCTCTCCCCACGTAGCGGGCATGGCAAAGCCTGGTTGAATATATTTCTGCCACTCTAAAATGGCCCGACATGAAAACAACATAAATTCAATGGTAAAAACCTTCATCAAATTTTTGAAATTGTCTTGTCGAATAAATCGTTCAAATAATCTTAACTGCACATTATTCACCTTGTTGAATTGTGCGTTTTCAGATGTCTGTTGTCATTAGGCCAAACAAAATATATGGTCTGTTCAATGACATGTGGTTTTGAACGCTGGTTTTCAAACAACTTTTTAAACAGAATTGTATGTTTCTGCACCACGAAAGGTGCAGAAAGTGGCCCCCAAAATGTAAACACAAATGATTTAAGGCCGATGTACGATGCTTCAAAAAAATGAGGAAATTGCCACGATGGACTAGTGGGACTGTCGTCATGTTCACCACATGCCGAGCTATATGACCGGCCAAGGCTACGATGACAAAACACGGCAACACACATCACGACGGTGAGAGGCTCAGACCAAATGTAGCGAACTGTAAAAATGGAAGAGTGAAGGCTCTTTTCAGCGCGCGGTTCTTGCCGAGATTGTTCTGTTACCTTAGAAACTGAGATAAACCACTTCCGGTTATTAAAACTTGCTATACTTAAAACGATGTTTGGACACTCTGTAGCTTTATTTTTACGAAGGGCCTTTCATGGTGAGTGACCGTTTTAACGTTTATCGTTTTAGCTAAAACAGTGTCTGAACATGGCCTTGCCGCCAATCTGCCAATTGTTTTATTTACAAATTCATGTAAAACCGAACTGTTGTGAACTGTTGTGCTGTACGTGTTTCTTGAAGAATGAATAGATGAACTTCAACTCTGGGTCAGTCTCAAGTAGATCACCCAGCAGGCACTAGCTGGACTTAGAATCAGTAAGCTCTTTGTCTCGCAATACATTTCAAATACCTCGAGAATGACAATACCCGTTTAGTAAGTCGCTGCTAGGCTGACATAATATATTTAAAACAGAACAACCTTCTGCAGTTAGTTTTATTTATTTTCTAGTTTTTGTTTTTGCTTTGTTTTTAAATATGCATTTTGAGTTTAGGCTCTGTTTTTAATGTTACTAGTGCAGTACCCATTAAAAATGTGCCTGTTCCGAAGGGGCAATTGAGAACTGCTAATGCAAACAACACACACAACTCAATGGTGTTGTTTTCACAGGTTGAATGCACATCATTCACAGGTTGAATGCACACTTTGTACGTCTCGTCATCCCCTGGCACTGATATTCACCCACACTGGACAATGGTATCGCCCTACAGTGAGGGCTGCTCAGTCGACTGCCTACAGTGATGGTTGCTCAGTCGACCGCAAAATGCATGTGCTCGTGCAGCCACACACATACCGGTATGTGTACACATACCGGTATGTGTACACAAGGAGACCAAAAAATCCAGTGCTTGGCAGTATGTTCACCTATACTGGACAATGGTATTTATAACCCAATGGTAATAGCCACACACATACTGGTATGTGTACATAGGAGACAAAAAATGCAGTGCTTGGCAGTCCATTCACCCATACTGGACAATGGTATAACCCCTACAGGTGAGTCTTTTTTCTATTGTTGCATCATATTGGGCACGCGCGCTTTAGCTTAAACATGACGTAAAAAGGACAGCAGTGCGCGTCATATTGAGCATGCGCTTTGGCTTAAACATGACGTAAACAATTGGTGGTCTAGGCTATATACTGCCACGTCTGCCTCGAAAATGCAGCTTTTTTTGCAGCTTTTTTGAGAACCGCTCATCCAAGCAACTTCAAACTTGATACCGCACATTCTAGGGTCCCAAGCAATCCACCCACCGATTTTCAACTTCATACAGTGCCCTGTTCTGGAGATAATCGATGTACAGACAGACACACAGAGATTCCTGGAGTCATAGTGAGATGGTACACCTTGCACCACTGAGTGCAAAAAAAAAAAAAAATTCACAAAGCAATTCAGAGTTTTATCAGTCTGGTTCAAATGGAAGTAAGTGTACAACAATAGAATGAAAGATGAACAAAATATACCTTCTCAAATTGAAAATTGTTGAAATACATATTCACATTTAAAACACAGCACTGATCAATGGAGGTAAAAATTGTGCCCTTTTTTTTGCCATGTAATTATTTTTAGCTGTTCCGGCACGCCGGTGGCTCTTGTGCCGCACAGTTCCCTTGTGGGGCCGGTTGGTCATGCACAGACCCTGAGACAGTCGTAAACTTCTACCAAAGTCGGAGTTGGACAATTCATCCCTGCGTTCTGGGGATGTGGGTTCACGCGGGGTATGGGTTGATAGATTTAAAGGAGCTGGCGCTAGTGCCGGACGCTGGGGAACCAGAGAAACCAGCATAGCCGACAATTCCTGAAAACCTCGGAGCAATAGGGCTTGCGTACTACTCTGTTTTCTGCGACGGCGATGGTGATGAGAATCAATGGAACGGCCAACTGAGGAATTTCCGGAAGAATTTGAGCCGGAACTCGAGCTGGAACAGTGGCGTCTACTCTTACGATGGCGATGTCGCCTACGTTCCGAGAAGTAAGAATCATGCCAACTTTATTTATACAGCGTTTTCTTCCAGGCCCCATATGGTGCCCATATCAGTCGGGGCTTTCTTGGCCCCAGTAACCGTGGACAGAGGCTGAACAGGCATGTCGCCGGGCAACGTGTTGTCGGCCAAGGCTTCCTCCCCCGGAACAGGAGGACAGCGGCCAAGTTGGCATGTCTCCGGGCCCCGTATTGCCGTCCGAATATTTCTCAGCCCCCAGGACAGAGGCCTAGCAGGCATGTCTCTCGGGGCCCATTTGGCAGATTTACTTACCCGTTTAGTTTAATGGCACAGCTCTACCTCTACTCTTGGCGTCAGTGCTGGACAGCGGCCTATCAGGCATGTCAGCAGAGCCTAGTAGGGAAGACTTTTGTCGGCCAAAGGGCTCCGAAGAACCGCTTCGTACCTAATCACCACTGGGGGAATGACTGCGCAGCCACCCTGAGACTCCATTCCAATCATCAGAAGCCCACCCTTCGCATATCTCGCACGGGTGGGCCTGAGAACAAACCCTATACTTGGGGCATAAATCATGCACATCCTGCCTGGATCGTGCTTTAATAATTCTACAGTTTGTCCAAGTAACAAAATAAGGTGGGGTGAGACCACACCAAGCGCTACTTGCGTCCACCATCTTGAAAAATAAAAGAAAACGAGAAACGTTTGCAAAACGTTCACTCGGAACTCTGAATTTAATCACAAGAAAATCTGAGGAACGCTGTAACGAACTAACAAGAACTCAATAGTAAATGAACATTAAGTTTAAAAGAGAATAAACACTTCTAAAGCTAGCAAAAATCGTATATTGAGAGAGCTTCAATAGAATACCACTACACCTGATCGGCGCTAGAAAAAATGAGGATGATATGCCGCTTCACCACTGTTCCAGAGGCTCACAGCCCGACATTAGGTTTATGCGCATGCGCCAGTTTTTCCGGGCTGCGCTGTAAAATAAATATTTATGAGCTCGTTCATAAAAACAAATCGTTGTTGAAGTTGTGGATGGATGGCGACTAGTCACACGGGACATCACCGTCAGTGGCAATGGTGTAGAACGTCTTCGGCCGGGTCTCCCTCCTAAATTAGGGTCATCCCTGTTGGTTCGCTGTTGTCGGTAAGTCTCTGTAAGCTGAAGGACAAGACCTTCACGGAAATCCTTCTGCCTCAGTGCCGGCTTCCCAATAACTTCTTTGAAGAGGATGTAGGAATTGATAATCGCTAATTCTAGCAGTCGCCAAAACAATCTCTTCCACCATTTCAAAGTACGCCGCCCTACAGTATAGTAACATAAGTACTGGTCCAATTGATCCACTCCTCCCATATGTTGGTTATATTCATAAATCATGAGATGTTTTTTCACCTCATTAGCCTCATCTCGTCGTGGTGGAATAACCTGCACATCATTGCAGTGTATTGTGGACAGTGCAGTCACATCTCTTTTATCTTTCCATCGTACTGCGGTCAAATTTCCACATTTGCGAAACTCCATGGAACCTTTCTCAAACTTTTCTCTAGGTTTTGGTTTCAACTCTTTCGGAAAACCAATTCTGTTTACTCGTACTGTTCCACATGATAAAATGTCTTTACGTAAAAGGTTGATACATGAAGTGGGAGATGTATAAAAATTGTCGGTATATAAATGATACCCCTGATTACGAAAATCCTCTGGTAAGTCATTTACTACTCGACTGGGCAAACCCACCTCTGGTGCATTCTCAACACGGCCAGTGTACACTTGAAAGCGGCTGCAGTATCCATTTTCACTGTCGGCCAAAACCCATAGTTTGATGCCAAATTTTTTGGGCTTTTGGGGCATGTATTGGACAAATGAAACATGACACTTCGAACCAATCATCTGCTCATCCACAGAAATGTGCATGCCTGGCACATACGCTTCCTTGAAGTTTGTAGAAAGCTTGTCAATTATGTATCGCACCTTGAAAAGTTTGTCACGGTTTCCATCCAATGGATCGTAATCATTGTTATTACAACTATGCAGGTACCGATGAATTTGCATATATTCATTCACAGCAAAAATCTCTCCATACCATTGAGTTCTAAGCCATGGCTTGTTGCTCCAATAGTCCCGCAGGTGAGACCTCCTGTCCATGCCTTGTGCAATGTTCATACCAATGAATGCATCCAATGTGATTCTGTCAATGGGCACCTATCTCATATTCGAGTGTTTTGCAGCTCTGGTAACGATTAGTCTCCTGGCAGATGTTAGATGCAATGTCGTCATCCCACATGAGGTTGAAGAAATCCAACTCAGAGATTTGCTGCAACTGCAGGATTGATTTCTACTCCAGTGAATTCTTCCCAGATCCACTGATGATTGGGCAGCTGACCACCTGCTGCAGCACGGCCACGACCACAGCCACGGCTACGGCCACGGCCACAACCAACTTGACCACGACCATGGCCACGATGTCCTCTCCCTCTATCTTTTCCCCTTCCATGTTGACCTTGCCTCCCTTGATTTCCACTTGGGCCAGGTGTGTCACTGTCATCACTGTCCACCTCCTGTTCCATCTCTTCTTCATCACTGTTTTGACTGCCCTGGAAATAGAAATGTTTTTGCTGGATGATCCAATGTGCCAATTGTAAAATTCAAGAAAAAACATCAAATTTGTCTATCCATTTTCAAATATTTTTTGCATTTGTTTCCCTCAAAAACTTGACACATAAACTTATGACTCAATCATTTATATTGCAACCATTATGTCTGTTTATTCTAAAAGCAAAAGCACCCCCCACCTCCCCCCCCCCCAAAAAAAAAATAAAAAAAAAAAACATGTGAGCTAACCTGAAAATCATCAGCCGTGTGCAAGACCGAATCCATGGTTGCAGGATCTCACCGGACTCGTACGCCTCCATTGCGATGCACGTATGTGTCATAATCATCTCCCACCATGTCATTGTTTTCATCACTTACATGTATTTCGTCTTCTAAATCAGAATCATCCTGAATCTCATCTTCGGATATATTTCCAAGGAGTTCGAGTGTTTGATCCAAGGCCAAAAACGAGACGTCATGTTGAGATAAAGTCGCTTTTTCTCGCAAGATCACACGAAAATCTAAAAAACGTTCACCCCTATTTTTTTTCTATTTTTTTTCAATAGCACCCCCTATTCAATATCACATCAATACAAAGCCAAAGCATTGCTCTAAACAACCTAATGAGGGCAATATATATGGGGACCGTAGTTTTTTAATAGTTATGACCACTATTTCAAAGGCCAAATTGAACGTGATTTTGGCGGTCGCTAGCGACCGCCGTGTACACCAAAGGGTTAACATCAACTTGCCTGGGTCACATGGAACGTTCATTGACATCGTTATTGTTTTCTTTAGGCTATATACCGGTATGTAATGTATTGATGCCTATGATCCCATAATGAATTTTTGGCTGTTTCGGCACTTTTGCCGAAACAGCCTTTGTTTTCGTTAAGATTTTTATTTTTTTATTTTATTTTTTTTCTTCTTTTTCAGCCATTCCCCATAGCATTTGTACACGCTTTACAGTGGAAGGCACTTTGGGCACTAAAATCAATCCGATTGACTTTATACTCGGCACACACTTAGACCAGCATCTGAAGATGTGCCCCGAAGATTGACGTCATCGACTAATTTATTATAGAATTTTGAATATTTAATTTTTCCCATAGACTTTGTACACAGAAATCAAAAACAAATTGTCGATTTTCAAAGGGCATTTTTGACTCTTTGCCAGTAATTCATTTGCACCACTCTTTGTCCAAGCAAAGACCCTAATTCAAACAAAATTGTGTAATGATGACGTCATGATGACGTCATCCGGCGTGTATTTATAGGCAATTAAATTGTGACACTTTTAATATTTAAAAATGCATAAGAAATCAACCGTACGCGTCTGTATCATTCTGTTACAGGCAAGTGGTAGAGTAGGTTGAGGTCTTTATTTCATTCAGTGTGCGTGAAATCACGTGACCCTTGCTTCCGGTCGAAAAAGGTCAAAACCTGAAGTGGCTTATTATTTGAAAGTGGAAATAGAAATGAACTTGCTTTCAACGGTGTTAGTCTCTTGGCTAAAAGTTTTCTTCAAATCATCTACCAATGACGTCATGCAATCTTCGAGCGCCCTCTAGCGACAGATTGAAAATTTTCAAAAATGTATTTTGAATAAATGGCTGTGGCGAAGTTTGTCGGAATCGCCTAAATATTGGTGTATATGATGACCTTGGCCCACTTAAGAGGTGTGCGAAGTTTTAGGCAAATGACGTCATCAGACTGGAAGTTATAATAAAAAGACCCTTTTTTCTTTGAAAATTCCTGAAAAATCAACCATGGCAGTTTTTACGTTAGTTTTTACTTTAATTGTCAATTTAAGGGTAGGTCTAAAGCATTTCAAAGCTTTGAGGCAATAAGCGAACTCGGACATGCCCTGCGCACGCTTAAAACTTCAGGTTGACAATACCTCTGCTCTAAAACATGCATAGAACATCTACATGTACATACACGTACTGCACGTTACGCACATACATCGTATGTCAGTCAGCCTGCAGAGCACGTGTTGCCGAGGTCAAATCCTGTCCACATCACCGTGACCGTTTTAGCTGATTTTCGGCTAACTTTGACAGATTTTATGTTCATGCATACGCATAGTCAGGGACGTATAATAAAAAATATAATGCCGAAAAGTCCCTATGTTACGTCTTTAAAGGTGCAGATTTTCTGCAGTGGGATTTTCCACAAGTCTTTTCCTATACAACACTGATATCTTACTGAGTAGTTCTGAACTTCAGCCGAGAATTACTATGAGAAGGAAAGAGAAATCGTATTTTTTTCGCGCTTCAACTTTCGCGCTTGAACTTTCGATTGAACATATTCCTAAGGGTCAGAATATCAAGTAATATTTCATAAAAATATTTCAGTTCAAAGGCAAATTACAAATTTAAAGGTGCAATGTTTCTGCAGTGGTTTTTTTTAAAGCCTGTTAACTTTGTACACGTGTTAGCCCATTGACTTTGTGCACGTTTTCAAGCCACCATTTCTATAACTTGGCGATCTGGAATCTTCATCAATGTTACAGCCAAGGAAGACCCTCATACAAAAATTATGCCAAGACTACGACGTCATGATGACGTCATCACCTAATTTTTTTTATTGATTTTTGAAAATTTACGTGCATATTATGAAGTCCTATATCTACAGAACTGTAAGTTTGATTGGGTTGAAACTTGGTATGTGGCTAGACCAGGATGTGTTATAGGTAAACAAAATTTAGGTGGTCGAGACCTGAACATGATTTTTGCGGATTGATAGAATTATCGAGGGTCTTCATTTTTTAAATATGTGCAAATAAATCACGTGACCCTTTCTTCTGGTTGAAACTGGAAGTGCTTTGTAATTTAAAATTGGTGCAAGACGCGAACTTGCTTTCAACGATGTTTGCTCTGGCTTAGTTGTTCTTTACCATAATATTATAGTAATAGATGAAACTTTATGTGACGTCATTATGACGTCATCACGTGACATGTGACGTCATAATTCAAAGCCCTATGCGAATGAAATCACATATTATATGCCACCATTTATTATCAACAGAACTACACATCCTTCGTTGATGGAACACATGTCACATGCCTCAAAAAGCTACCGAAACAGCCCTATGTTTGTCCACAAACATATGTCTAGTTGTTTTTTGCTTCTCTGTTGGGAAGTCATTGTACGGTATGTGATTTAAGCACACTGACTGGATATTTTCAGTCTTAAGCAAGACATTTCTCAAAGGCAAATCCTCTGAGCATAATCCTTTGAGCATTTACAAGGCCTACATGGAAATAGGAATTTTTAAATAATCAAAAGAAAATATGGTTATTTGAATAAGCTTGAGTTATCATCATGACATCATTTCTTTGGTTTTTAGTAATGAGAACAGTTGGCCTATGGGGTGACTCAAAATCCTAAGAACAACCTACAGAGCTGCATAAACATGTACATGTACATTTACTACGGTGCAAGTCTCAAGTTTTAGTAATACATGTACATGTGTTTGTTTTCTGTTGTTTCAATTTAAAAAAATATGACTGTCCAAGAAAAAAGGGTGGAGAAGCCACATTGATTATACAAAAAAAAACATGTATAAACAGTGTACAGGCCCCCTAATATTTTAGTGAGTGATTACATTTGCATATGTATACTAGTTTGGTGAAAAAAAAAATGGGGTCTTATGTTATATGATCTTATGGGGTCCAAACTTATAAGTTATACTAGCAAGCTACCTTCATTGTATCAAGGTTGAAGACATACATGGATATACAATGACGCCAAGAGTAGAGTAGATTTAATATTTTAAATGCAATGTCGTTATTTTCACGAACACCAAAAAAACGAAGGCCTCTTTCACTGAACGAAAGCCAGCAACCAGTGAAAAAAAGGGTGCAAAACAAAGCAATTTCTCTGCAATCAAGTAAGTTAAGCTAGTATTAAGACTGCCAAGAAAACATCAATTAGACTTTGTTACAGGGCAACCGACAAGTATATAATTATTTTCGCCAATCATGTGTTTACTGCGTTCCGCTCGTGATCCTCAACAGGCTTGTCCCTGTTGTTGAAACATCCTTATCCCTCAGCAACCTGGATTGCGACATTGCAAGTCAACAACAAGCCAACTCTTAATATGGCACAGCAAGCTGAGGATGGGTTTCAAAACGACAAATAAGTGGAGCTATTTTTGTGGATCTTTCGGTCACATGTAATACTGTAAACCACTGCCGCCTCCTAAAAAAGATCTTGGAGTTGACCCAATACCTCGCATTTACGGATCATATCGGAGCCCTTCACAAAGACAGATGCTTCTTTGTTGCTCTGAACAAAACAAAAACGCTGTCGACGGCACGAAAACAGCCTACATCAGGGCACTGTGCTAGCTTCGTTGCTGTATAACGTCTACACAAAACAAATCACAATTTAATAGACCAGGACACTGAGCGTTTCATCTAGATGCAGACGAACTTTGTGTTACATCTCAAAAGATTCCGTTCGAATGCATAGAAGCAAAACTTACCTCAGCACTTAGTCGTCTTTATACTATGAGCGCAACCACCTCCTTGCCAATCTCGCTAAGACCCAAGTCTGCTTGTTCCATCTCAGGAACGTTAACCGCGAAGCCAACCGACCCCTTAGCATCAAATGGTCCGGAACACCATTGGCCCCTTGTAGCCATCCCGTCTATTTAAGGGTTACCCTCCATCGCATCCTGTCATTCAAGTTATCCAAATTTAGTTCCCCGTAACAACATCATAAAGAAATGGAACAACCTCCGCAAGGGAGCCAAACCACACACCCTATAGGATGAACCGTTTTGGCTCCGTGCCATTCTTCAGCAGAGTATGCGTGCCCCGTCTGGGAGAGATCAGCCCATACCATGAAACCTGACCCAGCCTTAAACAACATGCAGTTTCATCACTGGATGCTTGAAACCCACCAACACAAGTAATTTGCACCTCCTTGCTGGCATTTCCTCTTCGGATTTCCGAAGGGAAGTGGCCAGCCAAGCTAAGATGTCCAAATATTGATAAGTGACGAGTGTCGCCTCCTCCAGGGACGGCAAACTTGGGCACAAAAGGCTGAAGTCAAGAAAAGCTTCCTCAGCCATGTCCACTCCTTCACAACATCCAGGGAGGTGGCAAGACTCCAACACTGGAAGCAAAGACTGATAGTAAACGCCCACCGATTGTCATGGTTATACTATAACAACGACGGAAAACCTCCCAACAGGTGCTACATTGACATGGGTTCAATGGAAAACTATCAGCCACTTGAGAACCAGGACTAGCCGATCACAGACCCGCCTTAATCCAATGGAGCTACAAAAGTGGTTCAGTTGCATGTAGTTGTGGAGAGGGTGAGTTGTATCACATCCTGTAGTGCCAGAGATTTCTACCTGCCTAGATTCAAGGCTGGCATTGACCCAGTAAACAGGACGGTATTGGGCTGATACCAGCTAATTATGGGTTTGTTACAGTCTAATCTTACTATAATTCCAGGAATCTCTGTCTGTCTGTCTGTCTGTCCGTCGATTATCTCCAGAACCGGGCACCATATGAAGTTGAAAATCAGCGGGTATATTTTTCGGGACAACAGAATGTGCAGTGCAAAGTTTGAAGTTGTTTGGACCAGCAGTTCTCGAAAAAGCTGCAAAAAGCAGTATTTTCTGAGGCAAACGTGGCAGTATATAGCTTAGAACATAACACCCGCACACACTGCCATTCTTTTCAATTGTTTACGTCATGTTTAAGCTAAAGCACACGTGCTCAATATGACGCAAACAATGCAAAAAGGACGGGCACGCGCATGTGCATTGCAGGGCGATACATTGTCCAGTATGGGTGAATACTAATGGATCAGTGGGTGAATAGCACTGCATGCCATGTTTTCGTACGTGTACATGGGCACATTATTTTTGCAGTCGACTGAGCGACCATTGTAGGTGGTCGAACTTCAAACATGGCAAAAATTTTGAAGTGTGCGTTCAACCTGTGAAAATAACACCATTGAATCGCGTGCGTTGTTTGAACGAGCAGTTCTCCAAAACTCTGCAAGTATTCAACCTATACCAGCGGCAAAGCAATTTGCGTTTCCCGAACATGCACATTTTAGACGGGCACTGCACTAGTACAGTTTAAACGGTACATGACCAGAAGCAGGCTAATGCTGGCTCGATTGCGCCAAAATGGTTCCGTGTTGACGGTACAGACACCACAGAGTCGGAATTGGTCCAGTACTTGCCCTATTAAGTGGCAAACGGTAATGGTAACACCGTTCAGAGCCTGCATCGGACAAGCGCTGGTCTTATTAAGGCAAACAACAGCAAGACAGCGCACAGCCTGAAGGTACTCTTACGATAAACCATGATGAAAAGAAGGTAAAAGGCCTGAATCGGGCCAGTGTTGGTCCCTTTTTGGGAAACTATAATGGCAAGATGGTACACAACCTGAATGGGACCGGTGCCGGCCCTTTCAAGTCGAACCATAATGGCAAAAAAGGTACATAGCCTGAATCGGGCCAGTGTTGGTCCTTTTACGGCAAACCATACGGCCGCCGTATTAAGTATCTGGACAAACTGACCATTTGACACGATCCCAAATGGTACAGTTGCATTCCTTGACCCTGAAAATGTATGTTTAGACACCAAAACTTTCATCGTAAGTGGCTTAGAAGATGAGATATGGGTACAAATAGGTTTTCAATGGCAGCCATCTTTAAAATCCAAGATGGCCGCCATAATGTCATTGGATAAGTTGGTTCCTATCAAAAATTGAAAGCTAAGGCATTGAGGAGCATGTATGGAAAATTTGGCACTTTTGTCCGGAATGTCCACATCCATTCACTAAGCTGCCTGACTATATATAGATGTGTGCACATATGGGGCCGTTTATTTACATTTAGTGTATGTATTAAATAGCTTCGTACGTGGCTCCATCAGGGTTTGCTCTTTAAAGTCTTCCACAGGGTCATTCTCCTTTATTTAGTCTTTCCAATGCTAATTTACTTTCTCATCAAGTGTAATGTTTTCTCATCAAGTGTCTCGCCGAAATGTTCACAGTCCTATCTGATAAAAAAATTATAGTCCTTTTTCTGTCGATTTATTGTTATATATCGAAAACTTATTTGTAATATAAAAAAGTGATTGAAAAGACGTCCTCCAGTGAGCTGTTTATATGCAAAACGAGACTGGATACAATTCGGTCCCAGAGAGGGCGTTTTATACAAGCTAAAGCACGGAAATGCCACAAACCTAATGTCGCCTGGAAAACAGGGGTGGCTTGGCATCATGGGTATTGTGTATTGGCCCAGAGGGCGCTGTGGTAGACGTTAAATCTACCGGATAAAGCCTACGGCCTAAAAGGATTAATGCAAATGTAGGAAATACAAATGTAGCAGGTAAGAGAGGGCCCAAAGTGGACTTTGAAGTTCATAGTACCGGCGTTTCTCAGCGCCAAATAGGAAGATGGAACCCCCCCCCCCCCCCTTTTGATTTTGTGGAGGCCAAGTTACCGGAGGAAAAAACCCTGTCTACATTTCAGCACTGATGTGTGAGTGCCCTTTTCACAACCTTTTTAACCACACCCCCAATAAGAATGACCTTGCTTCATTATGATGTTTTGTTTTATTAAAGCTCAATAAAAGCACACAAACGTCAGCTGAACCCTCTATTCAATTCGAAGCTGAATGACAAACATGATCAAGTGACTTACGTATGAGTAGGTTTCTTTCCAAGCTCGGCAGCAGTCAATGCTCTGGTGGAGGCTTTTCATGGATGATACTACATAGCCATCAAACAATTTCTCTAGTGAAATTTCCTTACAGCATCGATGGATGATTTCATTGCTCACCTAGAATGGAAGATTTATTGTCAGTTAATTTGCACTTCATTACCTCTGTTACATCACATTTGATTATTACACTTATAATTCTACTGTAAAGAAGGTTTTCTGTGTGGCTTGTGGGGTACTCACACAAAGGAGAAAATGGTACCCCATAAGTCTTCCTAAAAAGTATAAACACAAGAGGGATAACAGGGGTCCACTATTGAAGATGTTTTATGTCAGTATGTAAACACCGGCAATCATGGACCTTGGACAAAAGGGTTAGGGCACAAACAATACGTCCACGATGGACCGATAGTCCACGATTGAAATTCATGTACAAGACCAATGAGAGCTGTTGCTAAAAAGTACAAACAAAGGAATGAGGATTACGGACAATGGTGGGTCCACGATTGCCAGTGTTTACAAAGATGTGTGTGAGTTTGTTTCTGCATTCAATAGGGGACATTGAACAATAGAGGACAATGAGCTCCGTGCGCTACCAAAAGAGGGCGCCTTTTTACCTAACGACGTCGCCCCATGGGCGAGACATTTCACTGGTTTACGTGCACCGTTCCTTGTGTGTGACGCACGTACACCAGGGGATTTGTTCTATTTACGCGCAGTGGCTGGGCTTCGCAGCAAATGAATTGCAGTCAGGCAAGATGGCGTCAGTCGGTCACCCCCAACTGTACTTCCTTTGCCGGTGAGGGGGTGCTTGTGAACGGAGCTAATAGGGTCCCCAATTTGGCGATCGTGTACAAAACATATGGGAGGTCTTTCGAAAAAGTACAAACAAAAGAGGGGCAATAGGGGGTTCCCGATTGCAGGCAAATACACACTTGTATGGGTGTGTTTATGGTGTAGTGCTGCATCATCGGTGAATCAAGGTCAAAAACCGAATCGAGGACTCCTTTGTTGTAAAACGTGTACAAAACCAGTGAGAGCTGTTGCAAAAAACAAAAGAAAAGGGAAGAGGAACAAAAGAAAATCCTCGATTTACACCATAAACAAACGTGCTAGTGTGTGCGAGTGTAATAAAGTCAAGAGGACAGCAACAAAAGTAGAGGATAACAGATCCATTGTTATCCTTGGAGATCTGTTGAGAATGGTCTTTGTATGTAAGTTTGTCTGCTTAGTCTATAGGAGAGGTTTGTAGTATATTAACAAAAGGAAACATGACGTCTTGTCCTCAGATATAATTATAATGTATGACTTTACGTGTACACTGCTATACTAATGCAGTCTTTATACGTGGGCGCAGGAATCCGGGAAATTTTTACATTGGCTTATCTAACTCCCAGACTGATGTTCTTAAAACTCAATGATTCTTGAGTCTGGAGTGATGATAGGTAACACATAACAACCAATGAAAAATGCTGGAGCACTGAATGGTAACACATAACAACCGGTGAAAACTGACATGACTTCGCCGCAATCTGTATCGCATATTAGTCCATTATGTATTCAGTCTTCGGGCTGAAAATGGCTTGTATTTTGTGTATTCCGATTTGCGAGCCAGAAAAAAACAGCCGATTTGCGTGCCTACCACAGACGTAAGACAATACATGTACATTCCGCCACATTTCACTTTCTTTTGCGATTCTCAGTGTCAAGGTTCACCGCACGACCATACCAACTGTTCACCAAAGTAAACATTTGCGTCCTTTGTCCCTTCTTTATTAATTAGCTGTTCCCAATTTCAATTGGGAACAGCTTTTTCATTAAAGTTTTTTTAGCTTTTTCCAATTTCAATTGGGAACAGGTTTTGTTTTCGTTAAAGTTTTTTTTTTTTTTTTTTTTTTTTTTTTTTTTTTCTTTTTCCACTTTTCCCATAGGTTTTGTAAACGTTTTATTCTACAAGCCACTTTGGGAATTATTTTAAATCCGATCAACTTGAAACTTTCCATAGTCATTAACCACCATCTGAAGATGTATGCCGACATGTATTTATAGTTTCAATATTTACAGCCTTATAACTATAGAACTATTTCACCGATTGATCTCAAATTTGGTAGGTACACAGACAGGGAAGTGTTATAGATGAAAATTGGTATATCGTCACGTGACCTTCACTTCCGGTTTAAGGGGTTACGTGACATCTATTTATAGTTTGAATATTTACAGCCTTACAACTATAGAACTATTTCACCGATTGATCTCAAATTTGGTAGGTATACAGACAGGGAAGTGTTATAGATGAAAATTGGTATGTCAAGGTCACGTGACCTTCACTTCCAGTTTAACCGGAAGTGATAATTTTTGACTCTAATTATCATATCTCATGAATTATACATCTGATGGGATTGATAACTTATATTATAATGAAGCAACATTTGAAAAAAAAATATCTTGCATTTTTATTATTGTGCAGTTTATTGTTCTCATGTTATGACATTATGAATATTTAATGAGGCATTCTTTACAGACTTATAACTATAAGAACTATATGACCGATTGCTCTCAAATTTGGTAGGTATACAGACAGGGGAATGTTAAAGACGAAAATTGGTATGTCAAGGTCATGTGACCCCTACTTCCTGTGTTACCGGAAGTGTTAATTTGAGACCCTTATTATCATCTCTCACGAATTACAAATCTGATCGGGTTGGTAACTAATAATAGTAAGAAGCAACATTCAAAGATTAATATATTGCATTATTATTACTGTACAATTTATTATTCTCATGTTATGATGTCATGAATATTTAACGAGGCAATATTGTGATCGCCATATCTCCGAAATACAATAAGTTTGATTGCAGTTCTTAGCACATTTACCCATATTGGACTGAAAATGCACCTCTTCGAATATCGAGATCATGTGACCTTTACTTCTGGTTGTACCGGAAGTGCAATTTTTAAAAGTAATAATTTTAATTTTATTAGTTTCATTTTAAAAATATCATTAGGCCTAAATAAGTTTGTTTGTGGTCCAATAGACAATCAAAAACTGGGAACAGCTCTGTGGTTGTTCACAACCACAACCTCTAGTTTTTCCTTTTTAGCTGTTCCCAATTTCAATTGGGAACAGCTCTTGTTTTCGTTAAAGTTTTTTTTTCCTTTTTAGCTGTTTCTCTTTTTTTTCTTCCACTTTTTTCCCATAGGATAACACGTGTTTTCGTTCTACAAGGCACTTTTGGACTTTTTTGAAATCCAATTGACTTCAAACCTGGCACACACTTAAAACACAATCTGAAGATGTATGCCGAATGACATCATTACGTATCACGTGACGTCATCCAAAAAGTGCATACTTTAAGGTCCTATATCTACAGAACCAAAAGTCAGATTGGGTTCAAAGTTGGTATGCAGGTATTCCGGGACGTGTTATAGACGAAAAAATTGCAGTGACGACGATTTTCGGACCTTTTACTCATATCTCATAAACGGAATGTGGTAAATTCGAAATTCTTTTTGCAACAGGTTGATTAAGTCATAGATGGATGCACAAAATTTTGTTAAATGTGTGACGTCATCATGATTTCATCAAAAACGTGATTTTTTTATTCACATATAAGGGTATGTCTGATCGTTATGAAACTTAGTGGGTAGGTAGGTATAGATAACAGCATCCAAAATCTGAAGTGACGTCATCATGACGTCATCGTCTGATTTTTTTAATGAATTTTTCAAATTTTAATATTTTCTTTAAATTTTGCAAAAATTATATAAAATACGGTCCGATCGACTTCAAACCTGGCACACACTTAGACCACGATCTGAAGATTCAGGTCGAATCATGACGGCATCATGACGTCATCAGGTGTCCCTTGACATCATCCTAAAACTGCATAGTTAATAAGTCACTATATCTAGAGAACCTGAGGTCCGATTGGGTTCAATCTCGGTATGCAGATATTCCAGGAAGTGTTATAGACAAAAATTGCAGTGACGTCACGATGACATCATCATGTGATTTTATATGAATTATTCAATTTTGGGACCTTTTACTCATATCTCATCAATGGAACGTGGTTAATTCGAAATTCTTTTTTGCAAAAGGTTTGTTAGGTCGTAGATAGATACAGAAAATTTCAAAAAAATGTGTGCCGTCATCATGACGTCATGAAAAATGGGTTTTTTTTTTTTTACATAGGATGGACACTTTTTGTATAGAATACGCATGTACATAATCATTCGACCTGGATGAAACTCCTTAACGACAGTCATTAATAAAACGGTCGAAACAGCTCAGTGTTTGTCCACAAACACATTTCTATTATTATTTTTTTTCCCCCACTTTTCCCATAGGTTTTGTACACGTTTTTATTCTACAAGCCACTTTGGGAATTATTTTAAATCCGATCAACTTTAAACTTGGCACAGTCATTAACCATCATCTGAAGATGTACGGGGTATGCCGAAACTTTTTGACATCGTGACGTCATCAGGGGTCACGTGACATCGATTTGAATGTTCATATTTTACAGTCTTATAACTTTTGAACTATTCTACCGATTGTTCTGAAAATTGGTATGCATATAGTCAGGGAAGTGTTATAGATGAAAATTGAAAGTTGAACGCACACGCAACAGGTGAACGCACACTTTGTACATGTAGCCATCCCCTGGCACAGATATTTACCCCTACTGGATGATGGTATTGCCCTACAGTAAGGGTTTCTCAGTTGACCCCATGCACAATGGTGGTTGCTCAGTCGACTGCAAAATGCATGTGCCTGTGCACGGTACGCAGTGCTATTCACCCATACTGGACAATGGTATCGCCCTGCAATGCATGTGCCTGTCGTTTTTCCATTGTTGCGTCATATTGAGCACGCGCGCTTTAGCTCAAACATGACGTAAACAATTGAAAAGGACGGCAGCGCGTGGTGGTCTAGGCTATGCCATGGTTTGCCTGAGAAAAAGTTGCTGTTTTGCAACTTTTTTGAGAACCGCTTGTCCAAACAACTTCAAACTTGGCACTGCACATTCTGGGATTCGGAGCAATGCATCTGCCAATTTTCAACTCCATACAGTGCCCGGTTCTGGAGATAATTGACGTACGTAGACAGACAGACAGACACACACACAGAGATTCCTGGAATTATAGTAAGGATACTGGGAGAAGCAGCCAAAACTTAAGTCAAAATTTTCAATATTACCTAGCAGTGTAGCTTATTTATCCTGTACATTTATTAAGATGATAATGATTGAATACAAACCTTTCTAAAGAGGCCAGTAAGCCTCTCTCTACTCTTGTAATGCTTTGAGTTGACCCAAATCATTCTGATTAAGTTAATAATCTTAGTCAACATTGGTGGGATGTCAACTGGTTTCGCTTTCGATAGCTCTTCACACGGCTCTTTCAAAGTTGACAGAAACTTCAGGTTACTTTGTGCTTGCTCTGAGCCATCCTGAAAACAAGCATCAAATATAACAAGAAATTGTTTAGATATCTTTATAAATACATATGTACATGTATTTGTAATTGCTTTGAATTTATTCTTTTCCATTAATTCTTGTGTGTTATATGACATAGCCTTTTCACAGCCTTCATCATTAATCTTTTGATACGAAGACCTGGTAACAACTATATGTATCTTTGTCCAACAGGTAACATTTTACCATCTGATTTTGTTTCCATATTTATTGCTTTTACTTTGTTTGGATAACCATTCAACAATGTTAGAGTAAGTTGAGTATGCTAATAGAGAACTTTGTCATGTTAAATAAAGAGTCATAACATAGTTATTTGATTGAAAACTAAGACAACCAATAAAATACATTGTCATTGAAGTCCGACACTGAACCAATGAAAGATTATTCTTTATTTCAATTTCCTTTTGGAGTTATTTTAAACATTGTATTAATATTATTTCATGGTCAACACTGATCAGAGATATTTTAATATTTAATTTTTTTTAGAAATATGGAAGGACGTATATAAAACTGAGCTTGAATCATGTGGCTGTGGTAGCGTATAGGGGGAAAATGTGATAAGGTTCACTATTACCTGTATTTGTCTTGAGAGCTTTCTAAATGAAGCTACATAAGATGACTTTGAAAGCTCTAATATCATCTGGATCCTTAGCACACCTTCCTTTCTCAGCTGTTCACTGATTCCAGAGAGGTCAACGCAACGGTTATGCCAGAAGGCAATCTCCTCAAGAGGGCCAGAGTTTTCGGAAGTTTCAATGGCATCCTGAGATGCAAGGACTTCTTTGATTTGCCTTGTCCAATGCACCATTGCAGCTAAGAAGAAAGGAAGAAGAACCACATGTGTGTATTAACCACAGCCTTGTTAACTCACAGGTTGTAAAATATATCGTTGAGAATGAAAAGCAAAAGGTTGGTCAGGTGTTTTGTTCTTGTTGGCAAATTATTATTTTATGTTGAATAGATTTGGTCAAGGTACATGTTTAGACTAATTCAGCAACAGTTAATTACTTGAGGAGCCAAGAGTTGTGTATAGAGGAGTGCAGTTGTACAAGCCACGGATTGAACAGGTTGGAGGATAATTTATGTGAGTCAATGTTTGTACATAAACCACATGCAACCAATGTACCTCGATGTAGGGCACTGTCAGTGTAACCTGTGGTTAGAGTTACTGTTGATGTGTCATGTTTTTATTGTAGTTAGTGAGACCATGTATTTGTGCTCATTCTTGTAAATATTGCGCGGAAGAAGTAAGTTGGAGTGGGGAAATAAATTAGCTAGTTATAGGCATGAAGTAGAATATTCCTCTCTGGTGTATCATTTCTCAAGAGTCCTTGTTCTCAGTGTAACGGGCAGTACATTTCCACCCAAACGGATCCAGTCCCTGGCCACATTCACACGCGTGCAGCGTGACATCCGGGTCACTTAGCCCCGGCGAGTCAGGAGTTGACCATGATGAAAACTGATGGCAGCATCCACAGCAAGTCTAGCAAGGGGCTGAAGTTTGAAGGCACCTCAATCAGAGAGATTTTTTAGAAAATACATCTAAACCCTATATATGCTGTTGAACTACCATATTGGGGATGAAATGGAGCCACCGAATATGTAAAATGTGGCAAAGACATTGCATTTGGAAGGCCTCAATTCACTGTTGTTTTTCCTTACATAGTGTCCAGGTCTCATAACCACAAAGAAGAGCAGGAGTAGGCTTGTGACGGTATTGCATTTACGATACCGCAGTATCCAGTGGTAAAAAAAACGCGGTATTCACTAAAACCGCGGTATTATGTTAAGTGGGGTATTACGTACATTATCAGGGAAAAAACAACAACTAACCACCAGGCACCATGTGCCGAGTTGAAAAACCGCCGGCGCAGCATAAATCACGCAACTGCTCCACGCCGCAAATCATGGTTTCATTATCAGTCCATCATTGTTTGTAAAAATATATCATTGTAACAGATTATTAAAAATGAAAAGCTTACTTTTAGTGGTATTGTATTGTTCGAATTTGTAAGTCATTGACATGACAAGGTCCACTAAAAAAAATGCAAATCGTCGACGTACCGATGCCTGATGAGGCCGACCACACGACGATCCCCCTATCCTAGCGAACGTATGCTTTTTAGTTGGTATCCATTGTGAGTGATTCAATAGCCTCATGCAATTTATGCCGGCCACCAGTGACTCCTTACGTGCTTCACCGGTGTCATGTGAAAATCGGACTCCTATAAAAAATAATCACACTCCTTCTCACGTGATCGGTTATTCTAATAAGCATCATATGTAGGCATTCGCAATTGTGGAGGCTGTAATATGAAGTTGTCGGTGCCAGGACCTTCACAACGAACGGACCAATCATACCAAAACATGAATGGAAAATGCAGGGATGTGATTGGTCTGTGCCAAAAAAACCTGAAAATGTTATGCATGAAGTGCAAACTCTGGCGAGCGCGAAGCACGAAGCCATTACGGCGTGGGGTCCGGGGCCCGCTTCAGGGCCCTGGAAAATTTTTGATTTAAGATGCTGTGTGGTGCAATCTGAGGCCATTACTGGGCACTTTCCTCTGAAATTTTGGAGCAGAATTTGTTTTAATTGTAAGAAGAACTTTCCTATTTTTGTTAAAATGGGCCCAGCAGGACGGGCGAAGGAGGGCTTTTGTAACGTGATCGTACAGGTTTTTTCCCACGATGGCTTTGATAGTAGGCTTCCTTTTTGGAATATTTTCTTTTCCAGTTTTTATCTGGACGGCTCATCATATGATACATGCGAGTCCCTTCCCTTTGCAAGTCGGTACTTATGAATAATCAACGAATCGGACAATTCATACCAAAACATGAATGAAAAAAAATTCCGAGCACGGTTTTAAATGGCCGACGCGATCAGATTCTTTTAAAAGGGTGTTTTAGATCGATGAATGCAGTGCGTGTTTCAACCCAACTCTGTGCGGATCCAGTGTGGAACCACGGGTACGGGTATCATGCACTGACATGTACAGCCACCCATACGACGCAGGTGTATTCGGGGGCTTCCGTAAACACTGTAAGTGTACGCTTCTAGATCGTCCTTGTAGTTTTCCCCACGATGAGAAATCATAGTCTTTATATTGCGCTTTCTTTTAAATATTTTTTTTCTTCTCAATTACCCCGGCTCGGACGGCTCTGCATCGCATGTGAATCCAGACGGGTCCCTTCCCTTTGCACGTGCACCTCACACGCATATAGCACGGAATCTTGCTCCATGACTGAAGCCTGTAAGTTTTGGCGGTCACAACCAAGATTGACACGTTTTTGTCTTGTTGCTGATATTCTTGGGAACTATGTTTTGGCAAAAATTACCATGATGATATAGATTTCAAATCTCTAAAACAACCGTGGAGAAACAATTAAGACGACCAGTTTTTGTCACGACCATCAAAACATTCCCATGTGTATAACATTGTTTGAACTTTCAGCGAAGACACTTTACACGCAAAGAAAACCGCAAACACGGCAGCGTTAGCAGAACTTCAAAGGCCTTTGCGGTATTGCAGCTGCCGAAGTATCAGGTTTTCTAGTCGAGCTTGACAATTGTGTCTCATCTGTCAATGGTAATTGACAATGCAGACATGAAACTGGATGCCTGAAACCACAAAATGGAATCAAACATGTCAAAAAGGTTGTTTTTCTTTCTGTTTCAAAGGCTTTTGCGAAGATTCTGAACACTAAGGAAGAATACCGCGGTATTGAAATTCCATACTGAGTTCACCGGTGTTTCGGTATTCATGAATCATTAGTCGGTGTTAGTCGGTATTTTTTTTAAAAACTTGACTATCCGGTAATACCGAAATAGCACAGTTACAGTAGAAGCAGAATTTTACATAGAGGCTGCCCTTGCTCCTCTATAAACAGTTAAGTTGGCCCATGATCATACGGGCAATAATGCTTCGGGGCACTAGGTCCTTGCTGCAGAAACCACATGAGTCAATGGTACAACCAAGGGTTGAACCACAGGCTCTGAACTTTAGTTTTTACCCATGAGTTTTTACCTTGCCTCAAGGTTTTGAGACAGTCCCCAAATTGCCAGGATCCTCACTGAAGAGGGTAGCATTGTCTGCAAAAAGGGGGTTGGTAAACCTGTAATCCCTAACATCAAGTGCAGTGCGACAATGAACTAAATTCAAATGGCATGTTAATTCACCTTATTCTGAACTCAAGTTTAAGTTTACTTTTGCCCACCAACAAAATTCTGGTTTATGGCCCTTGGTTAGGCAACAGTTTCTCCACAATACATAGGACGGGAGTGGCCTTAATTAATCAAACAAATGTTTGAGTCCTGTAATCCGAGTCTCAGGTCTGACTTGGATATTAATCCTTTGATGCCTCTAGGACCTATGTATGTACATGTAGTTCTGAGTTGGAGAAGCCTGATGTTTCAAAGGCCTGGTTTTATAACATGAGAAATCAACAGGAGGCCCGACTAGCCTGCTTCTGCTTCTAGACTTACATGGTAGAATGGGCTGCTTGGAAGAAAATGAGTTTTATTTCTTGTAAGAACTTGAGGTATTTGTTCTTCAAACCATATTAACAAAATATACGCTTACTCTCTAATCTTTGCACCAGCTCTTTGTTCTTTGCAGCTTGGTCCGGAGAGATATTCAGCCCTTCACTGGGGATGTAGAGCACTGTGTGTCCCTGCATCTTGTAATGTGTGTCTGTAAGGCTTGCCATGAAGCGATGAAGTTGGGCTGAAAAATCATTCTTGATACCTGATGATGGCTATTAAGGAAAAGTCACTTAAAAGTACAAAATCCCTTGAAACATTCTTAAACACTATTATTTATATCTGGCTTCCAAGTAGTAAAAATACATCAACAAATTGTGCACTTTCGGAAAACATACCAAGATGACTATACAATATCGTTTTTGACATTGGATCATCATCTGAGCATTTTATGGTATCAATGCGCATTTCGCTGCTTCCCGATTATCAAGAGCGTAGAAACTCACAGTTGTCCACCAGTCAACAGAACTTAGTGCAGCACGGTCACACATACACACAGGGTCCAGGTGCACAGACAGTTTGCGAATTACAATGGCAGCTTTGAGCAGCACGAGATTTATTTCGGTAAGTGAAAAATATTTCAAAAAAATGTTAGAACTAAAGACACTGAAAATGACTTAAAAGCAACCAAGATGACAGTAGTAAATACGCAGCACACATACCTGGCCAAAAAGAATCTACCTACGGATTCCGAGACGCTGGAAAAGCTTACGCTAGCGGTATTTAGTCAAAGTTTTAGATTAACATTAATGTCAAAGTACTGAAGAAAGCGGTCGGTGTCTATTACAAGACAGCATCACAAGTTCTAGATTAACATTAATGTGAAAGTGCTGAAGAAGAGCAGTCGGTGTCTATTACAAGACAGCATCACAAAATGAATTTTTTTTTTCAAAAGAAGTCAGCGTGAAATAAACTAATAACAACATTGGACGGATTTTTTTCAGGGGAATACAAGAATATATTGCAACCACTATAACAATATTGCACTCGCTTCGACTCGTGTAACATTACAATGTATTTGTATCCCCGTTAAAGCCATCCAATATTACACGTATACAAATAACACTGTATTTATGAACCGCTGGTACTAACCCGAGTTGCAACTTCTTTCAATGAGGTTGAAAACCCATCCATAACACATGGCCGAATTTAGCTTTGTTGGCCCAAGGCACCTCACCAGGCTTTTATGGAACCCAATGCACATACATAGGTCATAGTAGAGTCCCAGTTGGGTTTGTTTTTGATGGCACACTGTGTTAGTGGTGTTTTGTTTTCCAGAGGCCCTCAGATTTTTCAAAGACCCTCAAATTACATTAAGTCTGATTATACCATTAAATTAAAATGTATGAAGTATTGCTGGCAATAAACCATTAAAAGGATACTGTCAGGCCATGATGTGTTCTCAAAAAAGAGTGGTGCGTAGATACTCTGCATCAGTCTCAAAAGGCTTTCGATGTGGCCAGATTTAACAGACCCATACTGTACCATCTTGTCAATGCTGGTTGAATCTATTGTCACCCCATCTTTGTGTATGAAGTAGCATATTTCATCAACAATCTGTGGCGGTATCTTATTATCTAAGGTCAGGCCCAATTGTGGATCCACAAAGATGACCAATAAGCGGGATGAATTCCGAGGCTTAAAAAATTCATTGATATAATCATGATGTTCTGATGTCCACATGTCCTCTGTCAGTGTACTTAGAACTGTATGCTCTTTCACAAATCCAATCTGAAAGTAAACAGGTTGCACTGAAATTTTAACAATGACAATTGAAATCTTACATTACAAATAACCATTTTATTTCTTTATGACATGCATTTCAACAGTTCAAACTTTAATAGAAGAACAAAAAGAAGACAGAAAGAAAGAAAAAGAATCAAAAGAAAAACAAAGGCTTTTCGAGATGTTGTCTAAAAAAGCCAAATAAAATCAAAACGTATGGACGCAAAGGCAAAGTTTGCACGAATAATAGGGTCAGTACTGCATCTGTAATGGCGGAATCAGGGAGCAGCTGTCAAGATGGAATTTGTTGACCGGCCACACCACATGCATGCATGCAACGCACTGCCCTATTTTTAATATGAACAATGAAACCTCAAAACATACCAAAACACATACACATTTCATACATATATTGTACCTTTCATTTACAGTTGACTCTCCTTAATACGAGGTCCTTGGGACTTATGACAATATCTCATATTATCCGACACCTTGTCTTAAGCGACAAGCATTTTTCACGCACTCCCAACATGTATCATGGATTGTTTATGTAGCTAATACATAAGATCTTTCCGGATACACCAACCCACCCACCCTTACACAGGCATAGAAGTGGGGTACTTCCTATGTTCTCGTGTACTTAAATTTTGCAATGTCGCACACTAATTTCAAAATGCTCTTATTTAAACTAGAACGGCGAAGCCGCCATGGCTCGCTGTCCAAGGCAGGAAGGGAGGCTGAAGGTAGGGTTGGGGATGGGCATGATGGAAGGGGATCAGGATTCTTGTTGATGTGCCTAGGTGTAGGGGTCAGTTTTTAAATGTCAACATAAAAAGATTACCTAACAGATTACCTAATAAATACATAAAAGATATGTATATAGGTTAGCCGTCACTGTATTATGGGGGAGTTTTCCATTGTTAAGGTTATTAGGACCCACTTGTGGATTTTTGCAGCCCCAACAGTGTCTTCTGGTCCCCATACTTGTAGTACCATGGACAACTCTTGTGTAGTCGCCACAAATGCAGAACAAGAATGGGTATACATGTACATGTAGACACAGCACCATCACCACCTCCCCCGAACCTTACCCCATCCCAAAACCTAACCCCATCCCCAACCCGCCCCCTCCCAACCCCCTACCCACACCCATTCCATCCTCCCCTAACCATCCCCACCCTATCACCTACACATCCCAACCCCACTCAAACTCCAATCCCTATCTCCTCCCCCCTCCCCTGACCCGTACCCTCCCCTACCCCAACCCCCTACACCCACCTACCCTATCTTCCCTTATCTGTCCTTACCCACCCTACACATCCCCTCCTAACCCTTACTTGAATTCCAATATCCCGCCCACCCCATTCCCCCACCCATACATCCCCACCTGACCCCATGCAACCCCTACTCTGATCCCTATATACTGCCCCCTCCCCTTATCCAACCCCTACAACCCATCCCTACCCATCCCTACACATCCCCAACCCAACCCCTACTCCGATCCTATATCCCGCCCCCTGCCCAACCCCCTCCTAACCCAACCCCTACATCCATGCCCATCCTCTCCCTACCTGTCTCTCCCTACCTGTTCCCACCCCTACAAATCCCCACCCCACCCAAACCCAGTATTCCAACCCCTCTCCCCACCCCAACCCACCCCGCCCCACCCATCCTAGCTCCCCTACTCATCCTACTCACACAAACCCTAACTCCAACCCTATACCCCACCCCACCCCACCCCACCCCACCCCACCCCACCCCACCCCACCCCACCCCATCCCACCCCACCCCCACCCCACCCCCACCCCCACCCCCACCCCCACCCCCACCCCCACCCCCACCCCCACCCCCACCCCCACCCCCACCCCCACCCCCACCCCCACCCCCACCCCTACCCCATCCCTACTCCAACCCCAAACCAGAAGCTCATGCACATCCCCAAAATGCATAGTGTACATGTACATGTTATACCGGTATACACACACGTACATGTTATACCAGTATACATGTACATGTAACAATTAAAAACTTTAACATTTCCTTGAATTAAAATTCCTCAATAAAATCATAAAATTTACTGCAATGATATGAACCTAACTGAAGTTATAAAGATGATACATGACAACTGCATTTAATTTTTTTCCCCAAGTTAACTAGAACCAAAAACTTCAACATTTTTATCTGAACGCGGACGGCCGGACGGACGGACGGACGGACGGACGGACGGACGGACGGACGGACGGACGCCCGGACAGACGGACGGAAATTGGTATTACATAGGCTCGCATCTGCTTCGCAGCTCGCCAAAAAGGATTAATTTCCTGGGCTGAAATTCGAACTTGATATCCCTTTTCTAAAACTCTTCCATTTGTGACAGATCAACCCACCTTGGAATTCCTAGATTCTGAGTAAAATCCATTTATCTATTCCGTGAAAAACTTGTGGGGTACCAAATCGGTACCCCGCAAGTCGGTGGGCATTCTTTGTGGGGTACCTCCCATTGTTCCGGTACCCCATAAGGCAGTGTTTATACGTTCACACTCACCCACCCACCCACGGAAGGACAAGGCGGAAACAGTATGCCCCTTCGGCTTCGCCGCAGGGCATAAAAACAATAAACTGACTTTCAACCCAGCAACAGGGCAAGCGGAATCGTCACAACCCGCGTACCGTATCGAAGTGGTGTCACCTACCTGTCATGATGATCGCAATGGCACGTACATAAGTACACTACCATTTTGAGTTGGTGACTAACAGAAGAGTTGCATTCAGTGTGCACGTACAGATGGGGATACCAGCAATTTTTTTTAATGTGGATAGTAAAGGGCGTTGGTTTGAGTTGAATAATTAATGCCCTTGTTATGTTAAAATGATTTTAGCGGGAAATGCCGGAGACTTTTGTTAAACAATTGGGATTTAGAGCATGAGTGGGAGAATAAGGCGTTTTTTTTTAAATGGGGATTTTACGTAGATCTCAAGAAAAGTGGGGGCGACTTTCTTCTATTTTTCTTGTTCTCAACTTTCCAAGAAAATAAACTGCATATTTTTAATTCTTTTAAGGATACTTTTTTGGGGGATGGTATTTTAATACTTTTCAGGGAATTGCTGTTTTTTTAACACATTTATTAATTTTTTATTTTTTTTTTAAAATAAGCTGAGGTTTTGGGAGGGTTATTTTAATATTTTGGGGGATTTTTTCTTTCTAAAATTGATTTATCTACTTTTGGTAATTGCATTTTTTTTCGGGGGGGGGGGGAGGGTTATTTTAGTTTTCCAAAGGAATTTTTATTTTCAAGCACAATAACCGTGGTACCGCAATCATGCAGCACGCGCTTGCATTCGGGCGGGACCAGATGCGAAAGCCGTCTTAAAGATTCCCCTTTATTGGCATGGGACAACCGCCCATTCATTGCCAGCCTTCTTCGTTCAGGCGGCACCATAAAGAAACCCCGTGATCGCACGGTAATCACAAATGCCTATTGTCTGCCTTGTTTGTTCGGGCGGCACGAGAGCCATCATAAAGAATCCTTCTGATAGCCTTGGAACCGCAACGCCCATTGTCCACTTTGATCATGAGCACCCTCACGCAGCACGTGAAAACACGAACAAAAGTGTGCTAGTGGTATAAAAATAACAGCGTTGCTGTTGAAACCCCTCAGCCAGAGTCAAGTTATCATCCAGAAACCATTAACCTTTAACTCAACATGGTGACCTTAACCTTTGACCCCAGAACCAATCCCAACACGCTGTACCGATGGGCAACCCCCTACCGAAGTTAGACACCAAAATCTCATCATCCGGAAACCATTTACCTTTTTATATCACCACAGCACCACAGTGACCATGACCTTTTGACTCCAAAACCAATCCCAATAAGCCTGTACCCAAGGGCAACCCCCTACCCAAGTTACACACCAAAATCTCATTTCCAACTCAAGTTATCATCCAGAAACCATTTGCCTTTAACTCACCACGGTGACCTTGACCTTTGACCTTTTGACCTCCAAACAAATCCCAACTTGCCTGCTCCCAAGGGCAACCCCCTACCAAAGTTAGACACCAAAATCCCATTTTTAACTCAAGTTATCATCCGGAAACCATTTACATTCAACTCACCATGATGACCTTGACCTTTGACCTTTTGACCCCAAAACCAATCCCAACTTGCTTACTCCTACGGTCCTAAGGGCAACCCCCTACCCAAGTTACAATCCCAAACAACATTTCTAACTCAAGTTATCATCTGGAAACTGAGCTGCCCAGACGGACAAGCCAGACGTCCGGACGGACGGACGCCGTAGGCGATGACAATACCCCTCAGGCCTCTCGGCTGAGGGGTTAAAAACCACAGCGTTGAAGTTAGCAAGCATCATCATGGTGCCAATTAAAATTGAATAGGTTCGTTGATTGACAACTTGTTTTCCTGAATGCGCCTGGAAATTGACAGATAATAATAGATTTGCAATTACCAGACCACAAAAAGTGCTTGTCTTAACCGTAATCTTGTATCACCCAAGCTCGTATTAAGCATTTTTTTTCTTCATAGTAATATGCACACTTTGGTCAGGACTGACGAAATATGCTCGTCTAAACCAAAATCTTGTCTTAGCCGTGCTCGTATTATGGAGAGTCAACTGTATATATCATTCCAAAGTTGCTTGCTTGGCATTTGTTTTATAAAATATCTTCGTTGCCAAAGTTTGAAAAGTATGTGCGCATCGATGCAACTGGTTTACATCCATTGTGCTAACACTCTGTCTATGGGATATTTTTGGTGATGGCAATCAGGATACCCAGTGCACTACTCCCCACCGAACACACAGTACCGTGGGGTCCAAAGGTGGGACCATTATGTTAAAAAGGGGGAAAGAGGGTTGTCAGAGATCTACCCTGGTTTGTGATATAGTTAATGCGTTTTATATGCCCTAAGGAACAAATGGCAACCCTCAGGCATACAAAATGACATGGACCACATCACAGCAGAAAATTTACCTATCGCGGTAGAATCGCGTTACGCAGCTTGTCAAATATTGTCCAATTACATGATATACAAATGGACTCAGAACGCGCAAAATCTGAGACAAACAAATCTTAGCCTACAAAAACTCCATAGGGTTGTCTAAGGGGCGTGGCTAACTTGCAAACAGCGATAGGTCAATAAGCCAGTTCGGTATTTCAACTGCTCATGCGCACAATGATATGGGCCACAGGTCATTCCGGATAATCGAACGCTCATCAAGTGGCATGAATGCAAAGGGAGACGGGCTCACGACGCTCGCGTGTTAATTACAAGCATAGCATCGCGTATCATCACGTCAGCAATTTTATCCCAAACGACCTTTGACATGGACTACTTCATCGAGATACCGAACTGGCTTATTGTATAATGCCCTCAGCAGTAAAACAGAAGACATTGTTATTAAAAGGACATCTGAACATTATTTCTGGCATTCCCTAGTGTACCTCTAATGAACATGGGTTTGTGAACAATGTACATAGTTGAAATTTGGTTGCTTGCATCATTTACTCAGGTTAACCCACAAGTTTTAATGGGCTCGAAAAATTGTGGGTAGACAATGTTACATGAATTTCCAGGAATGGTAGAACTACACACGCAACATTGTGTACCCACAAGTTTTAGAGCCAATTAAAACATATTGATGTTCCTCTTTGGAATGGTCAAAGGTACCGTACATAATGTGGGGCAATTAAAACATACTGACGTTCCTTATTGGAATGGTAAAAGGTACTGTACTGAATGTCGGGCAAAGAAAGAACTGATGAGTAATGTTACCTAAGGGGCTTTCACACTAGACGAATTCCCCGGCAATTCCCCAGGAAATTGCCGGGGAAGTTCGGTCGTCTGTTCACACTACCAAAGAAATTCCCGGGGAATTCCCGGGGAAAAGCTTTTCCCCGGAAATTTCTTACCCCTGCTCGGGAGTAGGGTTAAAGGAGAAATTCCCGGGGTTTTACGTATTTCCCGGGGAAAAGCACTGACGTCTGCGGGTTTGAACTTACCCCACCTTTCCCCCCCCCCCCCCCCCCTGTATCGGTCGCATTTTGCGACACAATATTCAAGTGCTCCGAACTTTTGGAAATAAATCGCAATGCAAAGGGTGTTCAGTTTTTTTAATTGCGTGACTGAAATACTCACAACTTCAGTTCGCAGCGCCTGGAAATGCAACTTTTATCCTCAACTGAAACATAATCATTTTCCAGCAACGTTTGAACGAACATGTAGGCATTATCCGTGATAATTTTCCCAACTGAAAGACTCCCAACTAAGTTCGCGTACGTTGCGCCTGGAAAATCTCACCCACTTTTATCCTCAAAAACGGACAACTGTCATCCAACAACGTACGTGTACATGTATTTTCCATGAAAATTTCTTCGATGCACGTGCTGAGCTGCAGTACTGCATCACCAATGTGGATCACACCATTTACTGTAGGGTGTAACATATTCTTTCTTTTTTTAAAGAATATTTACCAGCATTTCAACCGTTCCAAAATTATACAAAATTCTCTTTATGAAGTTCGAAACATTCCAATGTTAGAAAAGAAGCTCCTCAACATCACAATATAATTTTTGTAAAGAATTTATTCGAGAAACGATATAAAACTTTAAAAAGGGTATTAAAAGCATCCCTTTAGTTACGGTATTCATTGGATGATCCGTCCATATGATGCAAGGCGAATTGCTGTATGTTTTCCGAAGAAAATTGCGATGGAAAAGTTAATTTTTTGACGTTACAAAGTCGTTAAAAATAAAAATTTGATAAGATTGGAAGTAAAAAGAGGCCTGTTTGTTCTTATGGCATGCTCCCGACAATGCATGCGGGAACATTTCATCGTAGTTCACCGGTGCGGCCCGGCCCGGAAGAGCGGGTTAATTGGCCGGGCGCCGGGCCGGCTCCGTGTCTGTCGGGGGAAAGGTAGGTAGCAATTCTCGATATGTATTTCTCAACATCATCATCAACAAGAAACAGGAGGTTTTCTCGAAATTAATAGCCGACTGTCCGCCCAAAAACTTTTGCACAATTCCCGGGGTTTGATTGCGAGTGTGAAACGATCGTGCATATTCCTGGGAAATAGTGTCCCCGGGAGTTATCAAAAGTGTCTAGTGTGAATGGTTGCTGGGGTGTTGGTGGGGTAAAAAATCCCCGGGAATTTCCCGGGGATTTATTTCCCGGGGATTGGCTGTGCAGTGTGAAAAGGCCTCTATAGGCTAAGACTGCAAAGAGGCACCGGTGACTTCTTTATATTTACATAAAAATTCTTTCAAAAGTGAAACCTTACAGGGTCAACTGGTTCTGGTGTAGGTTGTTTTAGTTCAGTCTTATCCTCATGTACCTCGTTCTCTACTTCATATTCCCCCTGCATTTTAATGGAGTCATTGATGACATCGTTTGGTACAGTTTCTCCACCAGCACCATTCATTAGACCTGCCATTTCCAGACAAAAAGGTTATAGTAAGTGAACTGGTCCTTTTTCTCATTTGTTTATTTGATTCATATGGAAAGGACATTATGTGAGACAAGAAGAGAATATATGGGAAAAAGGATAACACTAAATCTGGCAAGAGGGATGGTGATCAGACACAGCAAGGAGTTTGAGGGGATTGATGGCAAGTGTGATGGTAAGAGCATCAGGATCTGATCCGGGATTATCCGATATTGAATCAAGTGTTAAGAGCCTGCTATTTAATGAGGACACATTCAGTTTTGTGATGCATCAAACTTCTAGACTGCACTGGGGGTAAAATTTCATGAAATGCTAAGACATGTCTTAGGAATGATTTCAAGTCTCCTGGGATCAATTTTGCCAAACTTTGGCTAACACTGCTGTTGCCCAAACAGAATGTAGCAATGCTTACATGAAAGAATGGATGGGAGCAAATAAACTTCAGCTCAACTGTGAAAACCTTGCCATAACACCATAGAAAACATCAACACCGATGGTCACGTCATACCAGAAACCTTGGGGTAATTTTTGATAGAAATTAGAGCTTCAAGGACCATGTGCAAAACATCACCCGTATTGCCATGTTTCATCTACGAAACATTATAATCCAACATTAGTCACTTGCTCAATGCTCTCTGATAAAATGGTGGAACAGCTCATGCAAGCCTTTGTAATGTCAAGGCTCCACTTCTGCATTTCTCCACTACTGTATCAAACCAAAATGTCGGCAATCTCGTCACAACAGGCTTGATTGTTGTTCATTTTTTCAAGACACCATACATGTGCGTGGAAAAAGTTACGATTTGGTGAGCTTTATTATATTTTATGAATGGTCGAACTCTCAGGAATACAATGGTGTATATGAAAGTTATCAGCTATGTATGTATTTCGGAAGATATTTGGAATCAAAGAGAGAGTGTTTATACATCGGTGAAGGGCAAAACCTAATTTGATTTACATCACCCCGACGCAAAATCCCATCTTATGAATAGTTAATGCAGTACCCGCTGCTGTGTACATCAGATTCGAACCAGCCAACCGATCCCGTTAGCTCGGTGGTCGAGTGGTAAGACATCTGCTCTAGAAAGCAGGAGGTCTTGGGTTCGAGTCCCACCCCAGTGATTTTTTTCCAACTTTCACTCGGAAGGTAACACACTGAGTACATGGAGTATACAGTGTTTATACGTCGATGAAGGGCAAAATCTGATTTGATTTACATCACCCCGATGCAAAATCCATACAGTCACTGTAAACGACCATTACAGAGGTTGCACAATCTGACATAGGGTTTTAACTTTCAGTATGCATTAACCCTAACCCCAACTTCATCAAAAAACATCCCCCCATTTTGGTGGATTTTGGGGAACTTGGTCCAGGAGGCCTGGCGTGACTAAATATTGATGGAGTACAGCCTAATGACCTGAAGCAGGCTAGGGGTATCCGATTGATTTTGCCTAGCTTCCTGTACTGCTTTTGTGATAAAAGCCATGTGTCGCAAGTCCATGAATGTCAACCAGTGCGTCAGTGGTGGATTCCATTATGTCATGCACAGTTTTGTGTTGGAAGAACAGCTTTGTATTGGAAGCACAGTGACTGATGGATTTTGATGGACTTCAGTTCCTAGTAAAAGACGCTAGGGAGTTAGGGTTAATTTAATACATGTCTGTGAATTTTCTTGCAAAAATTAAATAAAATAACTTTGTGGTAGATATATAGCTTCCATAGCTTCAATGTATACAAACTTCAATGACATTTTACAAAAAAGCTTGTTTGATGTTATGGAAACATCATGTTTTTGTTGTAGCGTAATGTTAATGACGTTACGTGTCTAGGTGTCTGAAATCAATTTCATCACAAGCACACCACTCAAACAAAAGTTTTTGTTGTCCCCTTAACGCCACAATAGAGGTTGTGATGCTTGAGGTTCTGAAGATTTCATAAATTTTCCACTTTCCAGCCGTGTCCACTTTTGCATGAAATTGCCCTGCTGTTACCCCCTAACGTTCATGCATATAGTTATGACATAACACAAAGTATGTACCTGATGATTCCAACTCCTCAATATTCTTTCTGGTTTCAGAACTATCATCTTTTTGATTTTCTTGCAAAGCAAGAGGCATCGTGACACCATTCACTTGGGAGTGTTCTTTCTCAGTCATGTTGCATTCAGCATTTGTAGCACTTGGTGAGAGTATTCACATATCCTCTTTCTGCAACAAAATGAAAAATTTAGCATTATTTCAAATCCACGTAAAATTTACAGCTCTTGTTGTTAGAATTTACAAGACTTGACAAATATTTCCTTACAAAATTAACTTAAGTCAATACCAGTTTTCCCAGTGTGTATATGTATTATTAAAAGCACTGGTTTATATAACTATTGCAGTGATCTATACTTTTGTAGGACTTTCTGAATACAGCCAAAAAGTTTCTTATACCAATATCAACATTGATTTGACAATATTTTTTACCGAATAGTTAAATGTCTATCTGGCAAGAATAAACAGCGGATTAGGCTTGGACGGTATTTCGGTATTACCGGATAGTCAAGGTTTTTTTTAATATCCGACTAACACCGACTAATGATTCATGAATACCGAAACACCGGTGAAGTCGGTATGGAATTTCAATACCGCGGTATTCTTCCTTTGTGTTCAGAATCTTCGCAAAAGCCTTTCAAACAGAAAGACAAGCAACCTCTTTGACATGTTTGATTCCATTCTTTGTGGTTTCAGGCATCCAGTTTCATGTCTGCATTGTCAATTACCGTTGACAGATTGAACACAATTGTCAAGCTCGACTAGAAAACCTGATACTTCGGCAGCTGCAATACCACAAAGGCCTTTGAAGTTCTGCTAACGCTGCCGTGTTTGCGGTTTTCTTTGTGTTTAAAGTGTCTCCGCTGAAAGTTCAAACAATGTTTTACACATGGAATTTTTGACGGTCGTGACAAAAACTGGTCGTCTTAATTGTTTCAGAGAAATCTTACATCATCATGCGTAATTTTTGCCACAACCTAGTTCCCAAGAATATCAGCAACAAGAACAAAAACCTTGTCAATCTTGGTTATATGACCGCCAAAACTTGCAGGCTTCAGTCTAGTGCTATATGCGTGCGAGATGCACGTACAAAGGGAAGGGATGCCTGGATTCACATGCGATGCTGAGCCGTCCGATCCGGGGAAAATGAGAAACAAATATTTCAAGGATAGCGCAATATCAAAGCCATCATGATGTCTCATCATGGGCCTTGGGAATAAATGTACAATCAAGCAGTGTCGGCCCCGGAAAACAAATCTGGACTTGCCTGAATATACGAGGCAGCGAGTGTGAACCATCCGGGAAAATTAAGAAAAAAAAATACTTCAACGAATGATTTCTCAACGTGGGTAAAAACTCTTGAACGATCTGGAAGCGCACACTTTAGTGTTTATGTGCGTCATGTGCGTGGCCGTACATGCCAGTGCATGATACGCATACACGTGGTCCCACACTGGTTCCGCACAGAGAGAGTCGGAACACGTGCTTTTCCCCACCCACTGCATTTATCGATCTAAAGCCGTGTCCGCACTCGCCTTTTTTTGGAAGGTTTTACCGAGACGATGGTGAGATGAAAAATGGTCAAACACCCTTTTAAAAGAATCTGATTGACCATCTAAATCTACGCTCGGAACATTTTTTTTTCATTCATGTTTCGGTTCGATTGGTCCGTTAGTTATTCATCGGTACCAACGTTCAAAGGGAAGGGACTCGCCTGAGTATGCCGAGTCGTCTAGATAAAAATCCAGAAAAGAAAATACTCCAAAAGAAAGCGTAATACAAGAACCATGATTTCTCACCGTGGGAAAACCCCCCGTAATGCCCGCACGATCACACGTAAAGCTACGTCCGTCCTGCTGGGCCCACAAACACAATTGCACATGCTTTTTCCCACGCACTGTGTAGATCAAGCTGATTGGCCATCTAAAACGGCGCTCGAAACATTTTCCATTCATGTTTTGGAATGATTGGTCCGTTCGTTATGAAGGTCGCGGCACCGACAACTTCATATTACAGCGTCCACAATTGCGCATGCGTAATATTGTGATGTTTACTATTATCAATCACGGACCGATCACGTGAGAAGGAGTACGATATTTTTTGTAGGAGTCCGATTTTCACATGACACCGGCGAAGCACGTAAGGAGTCGCTGGTGGCCGGCATAAATTGCATGAGCCTTTTAAGTCACTCACAATGGATACCAACTGAAAAGCATATGTTCACTAGGATCTGGGGATCGTCGCGTGGTCGGCCTCTGGTGCTGGCATCGGTCGACGATCTGCATTATTTTTTAGTGGACCTTGTCAAGTCAATGACTTACAAATTCAAAATATGCAATACCACAAAAAGTAAGCTTCCCCTGTTTAATAATCTGTTACAATGATATGTTGTTTTTACAAACAAATGGACTGATAATGAAAGTTTGAAACCAAGACACTTTTAGTGTAGGACTAGGAGATTTGCGGCGTGAAGCATTTGCGTGATTTATGCTGCGCCGGCGGCTTATCAACTCGGCACGTGGTGTGGTGGTTAGTTATTTTTTCTTTTGATAATGACGTAACTAATACCCCACTTAACATAATACCACGGTTTTAGTGAATACCGCGGTTTTTTTGTCACTGGATACCGCGGTATAGTAAATGCAATACCGTCCCAAGCCTACAGCGGATCAATCAAAATTGTTAATAGCTACAGCTGCTTCAAAGGTAACAGCATGTAAATTTGAAGCAGTAAAAACTAAACAGCTCTTGTAGCAAACGTTTACCTCGGAAGGCTCCCTTCATTTTCAAGTAAATGATTCAGGGTACCATGCATGAACTTTCAGAAATTCCAGTAAATCAAAAATTGTAAACGTTCGTATCGGGTCCCATATTTTTCTCAAATTTCTTGGGAATGACAGATCCTGTGTGAATGTAGATTCACAGATAGCCTCATATGTACTTAACATGCAGATGCTCATTCACTGTAAAATGTCGCGGATGTTGATCGAGTGTTTAGACACGGCTACGGCACGTGGTGATAAATACCGCCATCTTCGCCATCTAAGCGCAGTGGATGTTTTTGGCACTAAGAATTTTAACCATGACGAATCTTCGTCTACTGCCTTGCTTACACTGTTGTTGTGACTTTGTTTTTAGGAGATGGGATCAGACCTATCGCTATTTCGGACTCCAGAGCCACGAATCAGAAAAAGACAAAATATTCTGCAATTAAATGTAGGATTCGATTTAAAACAATAAAGGATGAAAACTCTCACATTATGAAAAGCAAAAAAAATAACTAGAGTTTTGGGGAACAAACACACGATGATGGGCTACGTTAAGTTTGATTAGGCCAAAAAAAAATAGTTCTGCTTCCGGTTTCCCTACCTACCTATTCTGACAGCCCCTACCCTAATTTTTTATTGGAAAAATGAGAAGAAGAAAAAACACCCAAAAGCATCAATTTCTTCATTTTACCCTTGACTACATGCAGACATCTCAATATGATCGTAAACAAAAAAAAATGTGCAAAGAAAGATCAATTCACTACCTACCTACCCTATTTTCGAATGCCATGTAATCGAAAATATAGCTTCTTTTTTTTGGGGGGGGGGGGCCTTAGCATGATGCCAATTTCACGTATACAACAATTACAAAGTTTTTATTTTAATTTTCTCATCAATCTTTCTCCCCCTCAACTTGTTCTTAGCATGAAGGTGATTACATGTATGCACATCAATCATAAGGTGATTTCAGCAAACCTTGCCACACACTTCAACTGATTATCTATACTATAATTCAAGGAATCTCTGTCTGTCTGTCTGTCTGTCTGTCTGTCTGTCTGTCTGTCTGTCATGCTGTCTGTCTGTCTGTCTGTCTGTCCACCGATTATCTCCAGAACCGCGCACTGTATGAAGTTGAAAATCGGCGGGTGTATTGCTCGGGACAGCAGAATGTGCAGTGCCAAGTTTGAAGTGGTTTGGACGGGCGGTTCTCGAAAAAGCATTTTTTGAGCTTCAACGTGGCAGAGTATAGCCTAGAACACGCGCAGTCCTTTTCAATTGTTTACGTCATGTTTGAGCTAAAGCGCGCATGCTCGCATAGAATAATAAGCCGCGTGTAGAATGATATGCCGCGTCAATCATAGGTAGGCCTATAGTTCTATATCTATGGCGTCAATATGCCGCGTCCGCGAATAGAATAGAGGGTAAATAAACAACTAGGTACACTTTTCTTCCTCATAATTGTGTGCGTTGTTTGCACGAAAAGTTCTCAAAAACGCAGCGGTCAAGCAATTTGCCCCTCCCGAACAGGCACATTTTCAACTTGCCCCTTCCGAACAGGCACATTTTCGTCCTTTTCAATTGTTTACGTCATGTTTGAGCAAAAGCGCGCGTGCTTAATATGATGCAACAATGGAAAAAAGACGGGCACATCATGGGGTTCTTTTCCATTCTTTACGTTATGTTCGAGCTAAAGCGCGCGTGCTCAATATGACGCAAACAGTGCAAAGGGGACGGGCCCATTGTAGGGCGATAGCACTGCACACCATGTCTTTGTACGTACATGTACATATACGTGAGTGGCATGCACGGGCACATGCATTTTGTAGTCAACTGAGCAACCATCACTGCACTGTATGTAGGCGGTCGACTGAGCAACTCTAATACAATATGGTATCACCCTACAACTACGCCCTATACAGTTGTTAGGGCGATACCATATTGTCCAGTAGGGGTAAATATCAGTGCCAGGGGGGTGACAACATTTTGTGCGTTTAACTTGCGAGTGTGCGTTCACACCATTAAATAATGTGCGTTGTTTGCACGAGCTGCAGTTCTCAACTGCCCCTTTCGAACACGCACATTTTCGACTGGCCCTGCACTAGTTAAATTTAAACATGTTTAAACCTGCCGCTAGAGGGCGCTTTAACATCGATTAAAGCAAGTTTACATCTTTTTCCACATTCAAATTATAAGGCACTTCCAGTTTGGTCCGGAAGCAAGGGTTCCCTGAAAAAAAAAATTACAAAATAAAATTATTTCCCTACCTACCTACCTACTTGGATTTTTTCAGGCCATTACCGTAAACACATCATTTTTTTTTGGCCTAACCAAAATGGAAGATTTCTATTGTTTTAGCAATAGTGGACTTGAATTTTGACACGTCGGCCCCAAAATCAATAGGCTCGATAAGACTATTAGTACAGGCAAAATACTTCATTTTTTTTAGTGAACCTCAAACAAATTGCAAAAGAATTTTTTTCACCACAGTGCATTTCTATAAGGTCCCTAAAATGACATACTAAAAGTCTTTAAAAATCCAGGTGGTGGAAATATGCCTTATTTGCATAATGCAAAATGGCTGCATATGTTAGGACTTTCGCATTGATTTGGTCATATTTCATATACTACCGGTAGGTAGCTTTTTGAGGTACATGTATTTAAAAACAACAATTTTAGTCCTTTTACATTGATTTACTCATTATTCTAGACCATAAAGTTTTCAATATCCCTATGTTTCCCAAATTTGCAATATGCCGATAATAATTTGCATAAATGCCATTTATTAATTTGCATAGATTAAAGTTAAAATTATGGCTGTCATGTTTGGACATGTTACAATTAAATTTTTCCTGATAATCCAAGTTCAGTCATGTACATAAATAAATTTCACACCATGGTGCATTGCTATAAGGTTCTTAAAAACGGAAAGAAATCCAAGTGGTGGAAATATGCCTAATTGGCATAAATTCAATATGGCCACTAATTACATGATTTTTTATTTGGCCATAACCCTCGTCCTGCATTGCTTTTTGGGGTACTTTGAACAGCAATTTGTCCTTTGACATTGATTTCATCATCATTCCCGTCCTGGGTACCTTTTGCGATCCTATGTTTCCTATGGGGTATAATATTTCTTGTTAGGTTTCTAGCTCTTGTCAAAGTTGGTATAAGTGTTGGAAAATGTGATATCCCTGTGTCGCAGAGCAAACCTTTGCACCGCTCTATTCAGACCAAAAATCAAGGAATAACTCAAGAGAACAGAGGATTCAACACAGGATTTATCAATCACAAAAATCAAATTATATATTACGGGAAAGAAGTAAACCAAAAACCGCAAAACTCAATCTGAAAATACGTGGGCAAGGGTTTTATACCCCTCCCACATGAGTGCAAGCCGGGAATTGGTATGCAACAAAGGGAAAAGGAATTAGGATTTGCATAATTCACGTACATCCACCTTCGAAGTTACATAACACTTTATGGCCGTAAAAAAATTAGTGCTTAATAAATCAACTCAGAAAATAAATGGAATAATTTTAACAGTCTTGTGTCACCCTGTACATGAACATATTTCAGGGACAAAAAATCCACTAGTACACTGCATGGATGTCACATTTTGCAACAGGTATGTCAACTTTGAGATGAGCCAAAAACCAAAACAAAAAATATTGTACCCAATTTTTTGATATTTTGTAGAGAACATGTTGGGGTTTAATTTTCATTCCAGTTTGTCTCAATGTCGGGTGATCCACTAGGTCAAATTCAAGGTCAAAGTAAAGGTCAAAATGTCATCCTACTTCTAATAACCCCGACATGAAATATAATGGTAAATTTGGATTTCTAATGATGTAACCTTTCAAAAGAAATCAAGATTAACAAAAAGGCAGCAATGTCCATTTTGACCAAAATTGCCTGGGCGGTAGCATGAAAACCGTTTGTCCGATGGCGCTAAAACTTAAAATTTCGGCTTTTCAGCCGAAATTACCCCATAAACTAAATATGAACCAATTTGAAGAGGTTGGGGTTTAAAATTTAAAAAGTTTTGGGGGTGATTTGTCACTGAATGACTAGGGCCAATGATTTTCCGCGATCGCGGAAAACGGACGGAATTCGCGGAATCTGCTCCTTGAAACGGAAAACGGAATTTGAATCTGAACAAAATAACTTCTGCAATTTTATTGATGAAAAAACACAATTTCATAAAATGTATCAAATACAAAACGAATTGTTGGTGATTGATTGAACAGACGAGCCATATAAAACTGAGCGATGTTTATATCACGATGTTGGTGGGACAAAAACGTTCAAGATCAGAGCAATAAATGTTACGAGATCATTACCGTAGTAGACGTGGTCATGGGAGTGACAGTCCCAACGCACGCCGTAGCTGTCGGCCAGCGCACGGGTGAAAATCATCCCACTCACGGCATGCTCTCGCGGGACTCTTTTGCTCCATCAGCAGGTTTATTTTTCTCTGTGCAATCAATCAACCATTCGTATAACATCTAACTTGGGCTCTATTGAAATGCATGTCGTGCTTAGGTCCAATAATCTACCGTAAACTATCCTATTTTTGTCGCTAACGTTAGCCCGAAAACAAAATGGCGGACATGAATTTCGCTTCGGCCAGCTGATGTGTGTGACGTCATGGGATTGGCCTGCAGCTATTGCATGTTTCTCACGTGTGTGGCAGTGGCAGTGCAGTATACGACTTGACTGTGGCGAAGTTAAATACTACGTCTGTACATTGATCGGCCGTTGATAAAATAGCAATCTTTTTCGGGGCAATTTGCCCGCACTCCAACCAAACGACTATTTCATTATGGTCTTGGAATTATTTTCTGTGCACATGGTATAGGCCTAATGTATATAAATTGCCAAATTTTGTATTGAATAAATATGAAACAGATTTTTTCAGCCTAAAACGGAATTTAGGATTTTTGCAAACGGAATTTGCACTTTTCTGAAACGGAAAATCATTGGCCCTAAATGACCTCAATGTCAAATGACAACATTTTGTTTAAAGTACCCCGAAAAGCAACCTAGGACGAGAGTTATTACTAGATAGTATATATGTCGTATTTTTGGCCATTGCATTTTTCTTTGCTAACAAAAGAGTTTGTTTCATATTTGGATAGAGTTTACCTTCCTCAGCTGGAAATCCATTGGTAACATTTTTTTCCATCTACCATGTGGCGGCCATCTTGGAATTCAAAATGGCCACCATTCGGGCCTAGTTTGCATCTAACTTCGGACCAGATTGTCATATGGAGTTCATTTTGGTGGCAAACCCCATGTTTTTGATACCAAGGAACCCGAGAAAATCATTGTTGATGGGGTATACTCCCAGTGGAGTACTCCATCAACAATGATTAACTTGGGTTCCTTGGTATCAAATTCAAGAACATGCAGTTTGCCACCAAAATGGACTAATTCATATGACATTCAGATGCCACCTTATCATTTGAATGAAATCCAAGATGGCCGCTATTTTTGAATATCCAATATGGCTGCCATCCATTTGGGATGCCTAAATGTGTTAATTGGATTCCTTGGTATCAAATTTATGGGGTTTGCCACCAAGAGTGACTTCATACAACATTCAAGTCCAAATTTAATATGCAAATTAGTTCAAAATGGCGGCAATTATGAAATATCCAAGATGGCTGCCATCAATTGTGAGTACCCCGTCCACAGTGATTTACTTGAGTTTAATTAAGAACATGGACTTCATATATAGTCAGGTGGCTTAGATCTAATTTTCGTCAAGATCGTGACCGACTGGTCCAAAGCACCAAACTTGGCAGAATGATTCTTATAGACCTAGAGAAGATATTTAGAAGGGGTGACACCCGAAAAATTTTTAGGAAGGGTGCCTAATTTGCATAAATCGTTAATCCCTGCCGTGTAATATATTTATTCCCATATTTGGGTATATTTTTATTTTTTTATTTTTTTGAAAAGTGTATTTTGGGGATTCTACTTACATATCTTTACTTAAATAACATTTTCCAAAGTATATAAGTGACTGAATAATTGTGAGGACATAGCAACGATCCAAAATGGCTACTATTATGCCCTAAATTGCGCGCATTTACCTTGTCCCCAGATATCATCAATTAGTCTTGCCAAACATCAGCATTGATGAACTTCAAATTCACCACGTAGCTTACTGGTACAGTTACCCTATTGAAACCTTTTGCAAAATCATGTGAACAATGATGATATGATGTGATATTTAGCCCAGAAAACAAAAACTGGGGAAAAAACGAGGAGTCCATAAATTGGGCTAACAAGTAAGGTGAAGGGTTGCCTAACATGGAAGACTGGAACAAGTTCAAGGAAATTCCCAAAATTATTGTTGAGAAAACGTTTTGGCGTAGACAAAATTATTGTAAACAACAATAATCTCTTATTTGAGGGGATTTTGTTGAACTTGTTCAAGTCCCCACGTTACCCTTCCCGTAGTAGCCCAATTTACGGACACCACATTTTCTCCCCTTTGTTGGTCTTTTGGGCCAATCATCAAGATGATATCAATTTTCACATGATTTCCCACTTATTTTTGTTAGGTTAACTATGTCAGTAAGTACCTTTGTGAATTTGAAGCTCATCAATACCCACGTTTGGCGAGACTAGTTGATGATATCTGAGGAAAAGGTAAATGCGCGTATCTTTAGGGTAAAATAGTAGCCATTTTGGTGATTTACTATGTCCTTGTAATTATTCAGTCACTAACATGCTTTAGAAAATGTTATTGAAGTAAGAATATGCAAGTAGAATCACCAAAATACACTTTTCAAAAAAATAAAAAAAATAAAAATATACCCAAATATGGGAAAAATATATTACATGGCAGGGATTAAAGATTTATGCAAATTAGGCACCCTTCCCAAAAGAATTTCAGGTGTCACCCCTTCTAAATATCTTCTCTAGGTCTACAAGAATCTATCTGCCAAGTTTGGTGCTTTGGACCAGTCGGTCACGATTCCGACCATATGCCACCTGACTAATAGGACATTCAGGTACAATGTTATTATAAATGAAACCCAAGATGGCGGCTTTTTTGAAAAATCCAAGATGGCTGCTATCCATCTGGGATACATCATCAGCAATGGGTCATTCAGATTACTTGGTGTCAAATGTATGGGGTTTTCCACCGAAATTGACTTGGTACGACATTCGAGCCCAAATTTATTATGCAAATAAGCTGAAAATGTATCCAAGATGGCTGCCATCCATTTAAAGTACACCATAAACAATAATGTACACGGGTTCCTTGGTATCAAAAACATGGGGTTTGCCATCGAAATGAACTTCATGTGACAATCAAGTCCTAATTAGTTATGATACAAATTAGGCTCGAAATGGCGGCCATTTTGAAATCCAAGATGGCTGCCACATGGTAGCTGAGAAAAAATGTCTCCAATGCATTTCCGGCTTCGGGAGGTAAACTCTTTCCAAATATGGCAAAAATTCCTTCTTAAAAAAACAAAATGCAAAAGTACATTGCCATATACTATATGGCCAAATCATATGAAAATCATGTAATTAGCGGCCTTTAGAATTTATGCAAATTAGGCATATTTCCACCACTTGGATTTTTAACAACTTTTTTAAGGACCTTGGTATAGCACTGTAGGGGAGACGGGGGTTAGTTGGAACGATTTTCACAAAAACCTATCCATAACACAAACAGGTTTTCTTCAAGAAACAACAACTATGCCATTTTATTCATACACATGTGTGTTGCAAATGTAGCATATAAAATTCTCAGAATTGTTGATGGTTATTTAAAAATCCATCTTGATCATAACTACGACATGTGTTCCAACTAACCCCTCCTATGGGGTAAGTTGGAACATGGTATGGGGTAAGTTGGAACTTGGTATGCTGTTAATCTGAAAGTATAGTACAATTACTTAAAAACTGCATTTATATTTGAGTTCAAGTAAAATAATTGTTCCAAGCACTGGTGATGCTCCTAAAATAATGTTTAATTAACAAACTGGCAAGAAATGGCACAAACAGCACCAAGACAAAAAAAACACAGGAAAATTGTGAGGCAAGAGTCAGCTACAAGCCTGATCATAAAAAGAAAACATCAAAACGGGAAATTTAACTCCCCAAATATAACATGAAAAGCTTGCATAAAACTGAGGTAAGGTCAACGTTACCTGTCTACATGCTTTCAAAATTGTTTGCCAAGTCAGAATATTTCCTCAATTATCATCATTATGTTCCAACTAGCCCCCATCAAAATGTTCCAACTAGCCCCAGTGGCCCATGTGACATTTGTTTGCTCACTCTACAAAACAGGGGCTCCAATAACATATCTTTTTAATCTTATTTTGTAGCTTAGTACTGGAGCATATAATATCCCCAAACTAGTCACTGTTATCTATAAACACCATTAAGAAAGTACACATTTTTTGAATGGTGAAAAAATTACTCAAAATGTGAAAAAAACAACCTTATCTTTCCCACTTGAGCACTATTGTTGCAGTGTTGCTGCAGGCAATATGGTGGATGGCTGTTGCTAAGGGACATCTCTTGAGGGCAACATTTTATAAAATTTAATTAAGCTGAGCAAGAAAAATTCATTGTTTCAACTAACCCCGTGTTCCAACTAACCCCCATCTCCCCTACTGTGGTGTGAAATTTGACTTGGATTATCAGGGAAAATTCAATTGGTACATGTCCACACGTGGCATCCATTATTTTAACTTTAATTTAGGCAAATTGATATACGGCATTTATGCAAATTATACGGCATTTGGAAAATTTCGGAAACATAGGGATCTTGAAATTTTACTTAGGACTAGAATACCCTCACCCAATTGGAGTGCAGATTTTGTGTACATGTACATATGGTGTAGTTTTGGTGTAGGTGTTTTGCAAAAGCTGGTGTACACCAAATTGACACCTCCTTTGTAAATGGTGCTGTTTTGGTGTACCCTGTAAAAAGTTAGACCTGAAAACTGTACACGGGGTGTAGTTTTGGTGCGTTCCAATTATTTAAATTAGCACCAACAGCGCACCACACATGAGTGTGGTGCTGTTTTGGTGCGGCATTAATGGTGCAGATTTGATGTGGGTGCGAAATTTCAGCAGTACTAATTAAATCCTGAAACCAAAACTGCACCAATTTTGGTGATGGGGTGCACTTGTGGTGCGCGTTCTAATTATTCTATATTAGCACCAAAAGCGCACCACACAGGGGTGGTGCACTTGAGGTGCGCGTTCCAATTTTAAATTAGCACCAAAACTGCACCAGTGCCGTGGTGCTGTTTTGGTGCAGGGAATCGGGAACCAGCTTGAACTGGTATCCATCCATAAAAGCTGCCCTAGTTCCTGACTCCCTATTATCATTCGAAATGCACTTGTGTTTACAAACGTGATCCAGTCTACTCATTATCATAATCGATGCATCACGCGCGCTCGGTAACGGAATCGCACTCGGGATACGGGGACCATTGAATGTATGCTGGGCATGAAGACCAAATGGCGTCGTTTAAACATTAACACGAGTCAGAAATTTAACGTGTTCATGATTGCGAGGGGAGCTCTCGGAATTGAACGGGAAATTTCACTTTTCATCCGGATCGTAAGTAAACTTCAGTACAACCATCTTAATCGATGTCTACTTGTACCTCAGGTGGTGTATCTAGTAATTTGGAGGCCGTTTTGAGGGTGAAATCTGATGTTTTTGTTGAGCAATGTTGGGTTTTGGGGTCAATGACAGAATTGTGTTGCTCGGCATACATGTATAAGGAATAGCTTGGACCCCACTATTGCCAGACCATGTCCGAATGTTAAAAAGGCAATAAGTTGGGTCCAAGTTACTCAGACTATACTGTAGCTGGGTTGATTTTCTGCTGACAAAATAATTTCGACAGTGAATGACAGTGTAAAATATCCTGTAAAATCATGGCACCTGGTATAGGGCCTACTGTCATTTTCAAGAAAAGTGGTATTTTTGTATCAATTTCTAACGCTGATCGGCCGAACAGCGTTGGAAATAACTGGCTTTTTTTTCAAATACTGGCCCCAATTGACCATCGCACGACCATCGATTACAAACCTATGAATGGGTACGAGCCAGCTAGACTGGTTCCCTGACCTTACAATTCCCCAATGTATGTAAACTGCTCTGTTTCTTCTTACATGTCTTATATGGAGTAAGGGAACCAGACTACAAGAAAATGATTGTTTTTCTTGGTTTTTATAGCATTTTCGAACCCAAAACCTCAAAAAAGTCAGTGTAACTATATTTGCTATATATGTTCAACCCCCAATTCCATCCATTTCTGAAAATTACAGTAAAAGCAAAATTTGTGAAATAAGTAACTTTTGCCATTTTTTTGGTAACGGAATTACGTGCTAATTTTGACATTTTTAAGTGAAGGCCTACACTATATATATATTCATATTTTTATATTTTTTTTAATGTCCCTGAGTAATGTTAGTAACTTGTAACATCATAAAATAAATCAAATCTTTTCCCTATAATTCAGAAAGTAATACATACACAAAATTTTATTTTTTTACCAAATCTGAACGTTTTAATCATAAATTGCAAAAATCACTGTTTTTACCAGAAATATGTATTTTTTTTTCAATATCGTTTTTTGAACTGAATTCCCCAGCCAGAGACACCCCACACATCCACCTGATCATTCTCATCTCTGCTCGTTCCATCTGCTGGATGTGCCCCACCCTTGTGGGCCATGTCTCGCAGCCGTACACCATACTGCTTCGGACACAGGCGGTGTAAACCTGGCCCTTCATCTTCAAGGGCGGCGCCTTGGATGTCAAAAATGGGGCCAGCTCCCTGAACTTCTTCCACCCACTCCTCACGCGTGATGTCACTGCTGCATCTGCTCCTCCCTCAGCACCCAGCATGTCACCCAGGTAGCAGAACGACTCCACCACCTCATACGTGTCACCGCAAACCTCCAGACCCGCTTCTCTCTCCTCTGGCCGTAGACCATCACCCCGACATCTCTTACAGACGAACGTGGCACTAGCAGCCTGAAGACTACCCTTCAAGCCACTACATCGCCTGTGAACCCACTTCCTACACGTTGTACACTGGATTGAGTTGGCAGCTACACCTTTCCCACACACACCACACAGCCATGCACCAGAGCTCGTCATTGGCCCACCGCTGAGGCGACTAACCATCACCTTGGTCTTCCCGGCGTTGATCTTCAGACCCTTAGATGCCAGACACACTCTCCATGCTGCCATCTTTGCATGTAGCTGCTCCCTTGTCTCTGCTATAAGGACTAAGTCGTCCGCATACAGCAGTTCCCAAGGCAGCCCGCCTCGCGTCTCACTGGACACCACGTCCATCACAGTAGCAAACAGTAGGGGGCTCAGTACCGAGCCCTGGTGTACACCAACCTTCACCTCAAAACTCCTGCTATCCCCTGCACCTGTCCTCACCACCGTACTAGCACCAGTGTACAACATCATCACTGCTCTCACCAGCCATTCCTCCACACCCCGCTTCCTCAAGGCCCATCGCACAACCTCCCTTGGCACCCGGTCAAAAGCTTTCTCAAGATCCACAAACCCGAGGTAGAGCTTCTTCTTCTTGGCCAGAAATTTTTCCTGCAGCTGTCGTACAATGAAAATGGCGTC